GAAAGCAAATTGTACTTTAAATCCTTAACCAAAGCTACATTCTTCAATTCAAATTTTTCATTTACCTTAACCAAATCTGTAGCAACAACGACACTAGTAGAAACATCAGCAAAGACAATTGACTCAGTCTTGGATGCCTTTTTGAGGGAGGAGAACCAATCTTTATCACCGGTCATGTGCCGCGAACAACCGGAATCCACGATCCACACGTTCTCCTTCCTTGCCATCAAAGCCTACACACAAGCAGATGTCGAAGCCTCAGTACTGGGGTTAGATGATAATAAAAATTTAGGAATCCAGTACTGAGACACACGACCAGAAGATCCAATAGGCATATATCCACGAGCAAAATCAATTTTAGAATTTTCAGAAAAATTCCTCCGAGGCCGATCTGACCGAGGTACAGTGGCCGGTCTGACCGGGGGCCGGTCTGACCGCCTCTGTACCGCCGGTCTGACCGAGGCTGTTCAGCCAGTCTGACCGGTCGCCGGTCTGACCGCGGGACCCACTGCGGTCTGACCGGTTTCCTCGAGGGAAAACCAGATTTTTGCCACTTTGATTTTGCAAAAGCAATCTCTATCTCCTTTTTCTGTTTATGAGCTAATCTGAAACAAAAATCAACAATATGTCCATCTTTGCCAAAAAAGAACAAGTATATTTCTCACGTTGTTTAGACACTTTGTTAGAACTAGAAGTTTTAGCAATACAAGCAGAAACAAGAGGTTTTGCATGCACAACATTGGATTGTAGGATCGTAAAGGGCCTTTCCCACCCCAAAAGCTAGTCATTGAGGTGAGGGGCTCCCCCACTTATATCTTAGGTCATTTGCCCTTCCACAACCAATGTGGGACTATTCAACAATCTCCCCCTTCACACATTGGTGTCCCTCAGCCCTTCACCGCCCCTTCACCGTATCCGGGCCCCCACCGGCCCACGGTCCATCAGGTATACGGGCCCCGCAGGCACCCACGGTCCATCAGGCCTTCACACGTGTCCATCGGGCCAGAGATGTTAACCTAGCCAGGCTCTGATACCACTTGTAGGATCGAATTATAAGAATTAAGCCAACCAGAGGGGGGGTAAATGGTTGGTATACCCAAAAACCGAAAACTTTTAGCGGAAATAAAAGTTACCCTCGAAATCGACGGAACGCGGTCTGACCGAAGTTGCCTTGCCGGTCTGACCGCTCGGATGCCGCCGGTCTGACCGCCGCTTGCCGCCGGTCTGACCGCCAGTAGATCGCCGGTTAGACCGCCGAAACCCGATGAAACACAAATCAAAGAACTCTTAAAGTGGATGACGACTTTATTACTTCTCTCTGTGTTTACAAAGTGCACCAACAGCACTCCTTACAAAAATTTCGACTAAACTCGAAACCCTAACTCTAAACTCAACTCAATTGCTCTCTAAAGCGATACCGGGAAGCCTCACGCTCCCCCTCTATTTATACATGAGGTAGGCAGCCTAAAGCCACGAACCAAACTCATACTATGAGTCCTAAACACCTTAGGAAACCCACTAGTACAAGAAAGAAACTTTACATAACCAAACGTACCAAATTTGGACTCCTTCCAAATTCGACTCCGCGTCCCATACGCACACAATTCCTCCATCGTATGCCATATGGAATCTCCATCAACCACATGCATCAACTCAGTCTAAGTATCCCGCATGATCTCTGACCACTACAGACGTCGTCTTATCCCCAAGCCGACTCCCGGTCCATCACCGCAAATACTCTCCCGAGACATCGAGTCACCTACACATGGAATAAACAAAGAAACCATATTCCGAGACCAAGCTATTTCCAACTTGACTCATTAGCAGCAAACAATAGTATTACATACGTATAGTATCCATCTAGAAGTCATAATCATGGAATAAACTCGGATATCCAAATAAACAATCCGAAACCGAAACCGACACAGTGTCGGCCGGTCAGACCGCAGGCTGCGCCGGTCTGACCGCGCATTACACGCCGGTCTGACCGGCAGCACAAGCCCGGTCTGACCGGTCCCACATATATATTCACCTGTGAAATCCAATCATCTCCAAAACCACTTCGTGAATAAATTCCAAATAACAAAACCAATAATCTCCAATGCCCAATCGTTCATCACAGAATAATAATCAAAAACACCTTTGATTTTACAATGACACGTGTGAAGGCCTGATGGACCGTGGGTGCCTGCGGGGCCCGTATACCTGATGGACCGTGGGCCGGTGGGGGCCCGGATACGGTGAAGGGGCGGTGAAGGGCTGAGGGACACCAATGTGTGAAGGGGGGATTGTTGAATAGTCCCACATTGGTTGTGGAAGGGCAAATGACCTAAGATATAAGTGGGGGAGCCCCTCACCTCAATGGCTAGCTTTTGGGGTGGAAAAGGCCCTTTACGATCCTACAGGAACAAAGGAATTTATATGGTTATTCGATAATTACATGCATTGACAAGAAAAAAAAAACATTGGTTTACTATTATTCGATCCTATCCAATTGATCGATGACTCTTGTTTAGTACATTCCGATTGTATATTGCCTCTTTTTTGCATCATTATCATCACCAGAAAAATAATTAGAAAAACATGTGAAAAATTAAAACCTACTCTTTTTTTTTTTTGAACTTCACCACCGGGTTGTTTATTAATACCTGGATTCAGTGGAATCACGAATCACTTTGGCCCTTACAAACCTTGGGAGGGGGTCAACCCACACATAAGATTGACCCGGATCCCAACTCACACCAAGTCGAGCAAGTTCATGCGCAACATTATTATAAGACCGTGGCGCAAAATAGAAATCAAAACTAGAAAACTGAAATTGGAGAACCGTTTTTATCTCAGTGAAGATTGTAGCACCAGTAGCTAAGTCATGCGAAGAGGACTTGATTGCCGACACCAACAATTCCGAATCAGACTCAATATCAACCACCGAAACACCTTGCGCCAGAATGGCTAATAAAGCTGCCAAACACGCCTTTGCTTCAGCTGAGATAGCATCACTGACAAACTCCAAACGCCCAGCGCCCGCACACAAAGCATGCCCCACCTCATCGCGCAGGCAAATCCCCATCCTCCTGTCTTACTCTTTTTGGCTTAACTAGGAGAAAAATAATGGTGTAGGTGTCTTATCTCAAAGAACCTTCACATTACAACAACTTAACTACCGCTTGTCCCAATTATGACCGGAGAATTAACGTAAATGTAACGAAATTTCTAGTTTTTTTCTGATAGCGTCTAGAAGAGACCCAAATCGATCCAAGTCCGTGACTGTGTGTGACATGATTGATCGTTCGATCTCCCACGTAAGACCACTCCTTTTGTTTTTTGTTTTTCTTCTTGAGGTGTATGATGTTTAATTGCATCGTAATTGCAATGTTTTGTTCTTAATAACATTTGTGTGTTATCTTCCTATTTCATCCTCTCTAATCTCGTTTAGACGTACTCCATCCGTCTAGAAAAACTTCTATATATTAACGAATCTGAACAACATATACGTTGGGCATGAGTGTGATGTGTATGCATCTATACGTCGGAATTGTACTTGGGAAAAGAAGTGCTTTCAAACCCAAGAATATATCTAGCATGTCTGTTATGATTTTAGAAGTCACCAATAGTAATTGAATGCTTATGCGTTTTTTATCCCATCATTATTAATATAAAATATAATAATATAATAACTGGAGGGTGCATAACTTTTCAAGGTGATGTAATACATATTCTTTTTCACCAAGAAGGTGCTATAACATTACTATAAAAAAAAAGAAGGTGCTATAACATTTTTTTTTGCTACTATGTATTATTGGTGAATACGCTCTAGCACAAGATATTCATTTCATTAGTAATTGTTAATTAAGGAAGACACACTTGTAGATAGTATGTGTATTCCATATAAACAAAAACATGTAACTATTTTTTCTATCCAAAAAATATATAACTACTGCCACAACTTAGGGCCATTCTTTTCCTCTTAAGGATTATTAATTATGATATGTCACTTCTCAAGCTACTTAAACAACGCATATTTTAAAAAATAAGTTATTTATCAGCATTTCTTACAAAACCAACATTTCACTTTTATTTAATTCATCCATTTATGTCCTTAAATAACTACAGTAAACTCAATTCCATCTATAACCCTATCATGTATGTATTTGGTTGAATAGGTAGAGTAGGTCAGGTTGGATCGAACCAATTTTCAAAATGTTTAGTTTGAAGATAGGTGGGATAAGGTTGATTCCGTAACGAGAATATTCCCCCGAAATCCGAGTTAGCTTCACACCTTAAAATCTAGCATATCAATCCAACACATTTACTCTCTATTATTGACATGTGGGCCATAACCTCCCATACCTAAAAAAGACAAAACCACTCCATCCCTCATGGCAAACTGATAATGGGACCACCATAAAAAAAACAAGGATAAGTCTAACTCATTTCACCTTATCTCTAAATCAAACACATGCTAAGCAAGTGAAACCCATCCTACCATAAAGCCAAGTTTCATCCATAATCCTTATTTTTCATAGTTGCCTCCAATTTCACTCTGAGCTAAGTGAAGCAGTGTCCAATTTCACTCTGAACCAAGTGAAGCAGTGAGTGCCCTGATCCAGGCATGATTTGTTTTCAAGGTTATATCCCTAGTCAGTCTATCTATCTATCTATCCATCTACTCACTCCATCCTAAAAATCATAATTTTAAGACAGAATATATTATATCCTAAGACAACTAATCTGGATAAGACTTTGCTATCTTAGGACGTATGGAGTATATATCTATCTATAATCTATCTATCTATCTTCCCCTTGTTGATACAAAAACCCAACCCAACGGTAAGTGAGGATTAATCAAGCTTAATCTCACCACTAATCAATCATCACCACCATCTAATTTAACGACCACGGTCCAGTAGGCCCACCCCCACACGTGGGCCCCCACCTGGGGGTAGCATAGTAGATTCTCTCCCTCGGCGAAGTATATATAGCCATGGCCACCTCCCCTCCAACCTCACCACCACCACCACTCGCCTCCGACGAGCTCCTCCTCCCTCTCACTCTCACCTGCGTTTGTCGCCGGCGGCGAGGAAGAAGAAGAAGAGAGAGAGAGAAGATGGTGGGGATGTTGCCGGAGACGAATGCGCAGGCGGCGGCGGAGGAGGTGCTGGGCGACGCGTGGGACTACCGGGGGCGGCCGGCGGCGAGGTCGCGGACGGGGAGGTGGGGCGCGGCGGCGATGATACTGGTGGCGGAGCTGAACGAGCGGCTGACGACGCTGGGGATCGCCGTGAACCTGGTCACCTACCTGACGGCGACGATGCACGCCGGCAACGCCGAGGCCGCCAACGTCGTCACCAACTTCATGGGCACCTCCTTCATGCTCTGCCTCCTCGGCGGCTTCGTCGCCGACTCCTTCCTCGGCCGCTACCTCACCATCGCCATCTTCACCGCCGTCCAAGCCTCGGTCAGTCCCCTGATTTGACGTTCGTGCTCACTGCTTTGACGTTCGTGCGAACTGCTTTGGCGTTCGTGCCACCAGTGCGAGCTGAGCCGGCCGCCATGGCCGGAGCGAGCTGAGCTCTCCGGCAACTCAGGAGAGATGGTGCTTTTTTTTTTGTTTTTAAATCTGACTCTGCTTTTTTTTTTATCTTGAAAAGTTTTTTTTACTTTTTATCTTTTGAGGATGGATGGATGGATGGTTGGTTAGTTATTTTAATTCGATGAGCAGAAAATATCCAGTATTTTTCTCCATTTTTGGATTTTTACCATGCATAGTGGAGCAGTAAAAAAAAAAGGATCAAACCTTTTTTGGGAGATTCTCTTGTGAAAATAACATGCACCAAAACAACAACAGTATTAATCAATTGTTAAATAAATCAAGTATCTGGACTAACCATCACCAGCAGCTGCCATCATATCATGTAATTAATACTACACAAGCCAAGATTGAATTTCATTTCTTCTCACATATTTTTCATATGACTAATTAATTATTACAGTACAAAATGTCAGTAATTTTCCGTGGTAGTAAAATTTAAATATTAAACAAACTCCATGTACTACACATGCCAAGATTGAAAACTTTTTTTTTTGCTTATATATTTTTCATCATATGATAATTCAATTAATTATAATAAGTATAAAAATTAATAAAAATAATTTCGTGCGTGCAGGGGGTGACGATCCTGACGATCTCGACGGCGGCGCCGGGGCTGAGGCCGGCGGCGTGCGCGGCGGGGTCGGCGGCGTGCGAGCGCGCGACGGGGGCGCAGATGGGGGTGCTGTACCTGGCGCTCTACCTGACGGCGCTGGGCACCGGCGGGCTCAAGTCGAGCGTCTCCGGCTTCGGCTCCGACCAGTTCGACGAGTCGGACTCCGGCGAGAAGTCGCAGATGATGCGGTTCTTCAACTGGTTCTTCTTCTTCATCAGCCTCGGCTCGCTGCTCGCCGTCACCGTGCTCGTCTACGTCCAGGACAACCTCGGCCGGCCGTGGGGGTACGGCGCGTGCGCCGCCGCCATCGCGGCGGGGCTCGTCGTGTTCCTCGCCGGGACGCGGAGGTACAGGTTCAAGAAGCTGGTGGGGAGCCCCCTGACGCAGATCGCCGCCGTCGTCGTCGCCGCGTGGCGGAAGCGCCGCCTCGAGCTCCCCTCCGACCCCGCCATGCTCTACGACATCGACGTCGGCAAGCTCGCCGCCGCCGAGGTCGAGCTGGCCGCCTCCTCCAAGAAGAGCAAGCTCAAGCAGCGACTCCCCCACACCAAGCAATTCAGGTAATTATTTATCTAATTTCTTTTAGTTTTTTGCTTAAGTAATTGATGATGATTTTTTCTTATACTACCTCTGTCCCATATTTAAAATTTGTTTCAAAATAATTGTCATGATAAAGTATTAATGATCTTATTAATCACTTTCCATTTAAATGTCTCCTTATTTTACCCTTAACTACGCTTCCATTCTTACCTATGCACCATTTAATAAGATGCATCATAGTCTTTCTTTTCAAAATTTAATATATGCTAAATAAATTACAATTTATATGGGACAGAGGTAGTAGTTGTTTGATTGAATGCACAATTTGGTTCTGATGATGATTATAGATTAATTACCTCGTGATTTGGGCATTGGTTGCTTGAGTATATATGATAATTGATTGATTAATTATTTATTAGTATTAAACAACTCCTAATTGCACCGTTTGCTTGTGATAATCATAGATTAATTAGCACATGGTTCAGCCATTGGTTGCTTGAGTATATATGGGTCAAACTTGCATGGACACTGATGATGTAGTGATATAGGACCATGGTTGTTCCCAACTTTTTTTAACCATAGGAGAGGAAGACAACAAAAAAATAAGACTTGAGGAGAATTGTTTATAGATTTTAATGTACAACATTGAGGGGTCCAATCAAATTTGCAAGTTGGGTGTAGATTCAGATTGCACTGTTCATCTTGTCCCCCTACTCCAGCTAGTTTTATCATCTTCTCCCAAGTTGCAATGTCACATGATGATGTTCACCTTACACCAATGAATGCATTTTGGTGCATTTGTAGTTATTTACCAATCCGCAAATGTGTCTTGTGTTTCTTAGATGCAGTACCATCTATGGTATTGCTAACCGCGTAGGAATTCTGCGGACGGGTCCATATTCCTCTAGGGCTTGGATCCGTCTCGCCGTGGTTTCTATCCGTCACCTATTCATCATGGTACTAACTTGAACTATCAATTGGGTCATCGACAAGTGGGATGTCGGCTATAATAGTTGCCGACAAATGGTATGTCGGCTACGACAGCCGGTGAAATAAGGGAGAAATTTTTGGGTTCCGACAAGAGTTAGGGAATTTTTTTTCCGGATACGAGAATTAAGAGATTTTATTTCTAGATTCTGGGAGAGTCAAGAGGAAAATTTTCTGGATTCCGACGAGAATTGAACTGTTTTTCGAAAAATCCCTTTCTTGAAGACAAGATGGCCCTAGAGAATATAACATCTAGGATAACCAACAACCATGCATGGACTTCCATATAGGAGAAGACAAACAGAAAATTTGGCAGTGACCAGCCAATAATTGCATGTATTCTAATCGGGCAGCATGTGTCACGGACTATGCTTCCTGTAGTTCTGCTACTGACCTCCATCTGATCCTGAAAATCCTGATGAACATGTCATCCTGTGCCTGATGCTCTGCACTGAAATGCAGACTCTGAAACAGAACACTATCCTCTGAAAGATAAAACTAGTCAGAAGATATTGGAGATCAGGACTCATCAGGCTGGTCGGCAGGCTATGCCAAATGGCCATTTAAGACTTCGATTAATTGGCATGTTTTTTTTATGAGTAATAGTACATTTGCAGTCTATCTATCACTCACCTTGTTCCTCCTGTGGAGAGAAAGCTGTCTCACACCTACTACTGCTGCTATCTAGTCGAAATTTCAGAGAAATTTCATGTCCTGTTTCATGGAATTTTTGTTGAAAAAGTACTAGTCTAGTGAGATTGAAAATTCCTGAGAGTGATTGTTTTCCAATGTTTAGGGGAAAATAGGATCAATAGTGCTTTGATGTTTTGGTGCTCTCAACATCCTGCAATTTATGATAGCTGGAAACGTTTTGGAGCAAAAGGTTGATTCAGATTCCTTGGTCCTAAAGTGTTATTAGAAAAATACCTGATTTTTGAAAAATAAATCTCGAATAATTAGCGAAGCCTAGAACACCATTCTTCAGTGTGATTAAGACATGAACATAGTAAAGTTAACCAAGTATTAACTTAGAGTGGGGGCAAGAATATTGTTAGCTAAAGCATTTAGCTCACATGTGTCATGGACTAGTACGGTGGTTGGAATAGCTTCTCAAGAGAAAAAGCTTGTATTCTAGTACTTCTGTTTGGTCTCCCATCTGGTCTGAGAGAGTAAATCGGCTGTCATTTCCTCATGTCATCTTCTTGATGATTTGATCTTTGCAAGTTAAAACAAAAGTTAACCTAATTACCATTCAAAAATGCCAGTACATGTCTCATCAGCATCAACTTTTTATCACTTGAAGTATTTAACCATATCATGGAGTTAGCTTGTGAAAGTCAAATCTCATTTGCTCTATAAATAAACTATATAACCTAAAAAGTCTTATTTCTACATATTATTTATCAAATCAAAGTGACATTGCTTCAAAGAGAGGTTAAGCCTCTCTTTGAAGCCTTGAAGAAGCTGTGCTTATCTGCTACTATTGCAAACACAGTACAGTAGGATCAAGCATTAGAACTAAGAAAATATTCAAGAATCACTAGTTACTAATAGTGACTAAACATACACGTGTGTACAAGAAATTCCATGATGAGAACTCCATTGTGGGCCATTAGAAAGCTAATCCAAAAGCAACTAGTAAAAAAATATGGCATATCGTCTCAATTATTAGCAGACTGTTTCTGAACAGGACCGAGACGTGTGCACACCGAAAGTTAGAGGCCAGGAAAAAGGTAGAAAAAAACAGAAGAAAGTTAGCCCTAGAAGCCACAACTAGCTTAACAAGAGCTAGTGTATCATTTTGTGTAGGCAATCTCCATCTTGCAAGTGATCAGGACAAGGAGATCTAAGCAGCAAACCTCTCTCTGTCTCTCTTGTCTTTCTCTTTCTCACATGCATCAGCCTTTCATTTTGGCATGGCTCACTTGGAGTTGCATTGCACATCTGTCCATTTTCTTGATGCTTCAAAAGCAATGGGGATCATTCATCTCCATGGATTGGACCATATGCAAAAGTAGCTTGAGAAAAGGAAGGAGGGGCATGTGAGCAGTGTAGTTTTAGCATTGTGGGTCTCCCCTATAGTTGTCTTAGGTTGGTGAGGTTGATGGGAGAAACTAAATCTACCCCCCATAGTTATTATTATTGTCCGCATCGATAAAAAAGTTACCTTCTCTTCCCCTATAGTTATCTTATGTTGGTGAGGTTGATAGGAGAAACCAAATCTACCCTCCGTAGTTATTATTATTGTTCGCATAGATTAAAAAGCCGCCTTTTTAAGTCAAAAGAGCAGTGGTGATATGTGAGAATTCAGGTACACCTCGTGGTTAATTAATTACACTTTTTAAGCCTGCGAGCGACACTTGTCGTGTCACTCACCTCGAGATTCATGACTGTTATTTTAGTTAGGCACACGTGATCACATTCATTTTAGCCATGGTAGTCGGCCTCAGCACGGATATAGTAGGGCAGAGTTCAAGAAAATGCCTTCATGGCAACTTCCCTGCCATGAACTCTTCAGCCCCATGGTGTTCCACATGATAAAGTTCAGCTCCTTTTTTTGAACAGTAACAATCAAAGTCATGTCAGATTAACACTTTGAATAAAAACATTATGAGATTATGTTTTATCTTATCGATAGGTTGGTGTCAGTCTACATGGTTGTTTAGTCTCTGTTCGATCTGTCAGTGTCTCCAGATTATGAACTCACATCTTCAGAGTTTATCTGGGGATGTATAGAGCCGCAGATGCGTATATGATTATTATCAACATTGCATCAAATCACATGAAAACATGTTGCTTGTTCCTGATACTAATTAGTAGCTTGACAGATCAGATCAACTTGTGCAAATGGGAAGAATACTGCCAACTATGAGACACACTTGACAAATTGTTTAGTCCTTAGTTTTGGCTGGAAACTCTGACGATGTTGTTTTCAGAAAGATAAGCCCTGGAAGACTTAGCTGCTGACGACGATTCCCTCACGAAATGAGAGGGTGATTTTAATTTGACGAATAGATTATAGATGGTCATGTTAATGGGGGCATAATCAGAGCAACTAACTGGGATAAAATTGTTTTAGTGTTATGATTGGATTTGTGTCTTGTTCTTGTGAAGCATCTTGTTTCTGTGACCACTGCTTTAGCTTGCACACGACCTCCTTGTTGCCTTTTTTTTTCTTTGGTCCCAAAGGTGAAAAGAACATTGCAATAGCTTTTGTTTCAATTAAAATAGGTCAATGATAGACACAAGTATTGCAAAAGTCTTACTTTATATGTTTTCTGCAATCACTGCCTAAACTTTTTGAAAAGTTACCAAGTTTGCAAAAATTGCTGATGAGGTTTCTGAATCTGAACTCTGAAGAGAACAACTCAATCCTTCGAAATTCCTGCATGCTGATTGAAAGAATTAGCTGACGATTGTACTACACATGGTTGAAACTGAACTGACAATTGATGTACACGTGTTTGAAACTTAAGTGAAAATTGATGGACACATGGTTGAAACTTCAGTGACAACTGTAGTACACATGATTGAAACTTAACTGAAAGTTAATGCACACAAAGATTGAAACTATACATGGTTGAAAATTTTAACTGAAAATTGATGCACTCATCATTGAAGCTTAAACTGAAAATCGATGCACACGTGATTGAATCTTAACTGGAAATTGATTTTTTTTTCTTTTTGCAAGTAAGCTTAATAAACTCTGCACTACACATGATTGCAACTTGACTGAAATTGATGCACACATGATTGAAACTCAACTGACAATTGTACTACACATGATCGAAACTCAACTGAAAATTGATGCACGCATGATTGCAGCTTCACTGAATACTGATGTACACACACATGATTGAAACTTAACTGAAAAAACTTAAATGTACAATACATATTATTGAAACTTAACTGAAAAAACTTGATGCACAATACACATGATTGAAACTTAAACTGAACAAACTTGATGTTACAATACATATGATGATTGAAACTTAACCTGAAAGAACTTGATGTACAGTACAATACAAATGGCTGAAACTTGGTAGTAACTGAAAACTGATGTTCTTCTGCAAGTAAGCTTAACAAAAGTTGCAAATGTTTTTCTCCTCAGGTTCTTGGACCATGCGGCGATCAACGACGCGCCGGACGGCGAGCAGAGCAAGTGGACGCTGGCGACGCTGACGGACGTGGAGGAGGTGAAGACGGTGGCGAGGATGCTGCCGATCTGGGCGACGACGATCATGTTCTGGACGGTGTACGCCCAGATGACCACCTTCTCCGTGTCCCAGGCGACCACCATGGACCGCCACATCGGCGCCTCCTTCCAGATCCCGGCGGGCTCCCTCACCGTCTTCTTCGTCGGCTCCATCCTCCTCACCGTGCCCATCTACGACCGCCTCGTCGTGCCCGTGGCGCGGCGCGCCACCGGCAACCCGCACGGGCTCACCCCGCTCCAGCGCATCGGCGTCGGGCTGGTGCTGTCCATCGTCGCCATGGTGTGCGCCGCGCTGACGGAGGTGAGGCGGCTCCGCGTGGCGAGGGACGCGCGCGTCGGCGGCGGCGAGGCCGTGCCCATGACCGTGTTCTGGCTGATCCCGCAGTTCCTGTTCGTCGGCGCCGGCGAGGCGTTCACCTACATCGGCCAGCTCGACTTCTTCCTCCGCGAGTGCCCCAAGGGGATGAAGACGATGAGCACGGGGCTGTTCCTGAGCACGCTCTCGCTGGGGTTCTTCGTCAGCTCGGCGCTCGTCGCCGCCGTCCACAAGCTCACCGGCGACCGCCACCCCTGGCTCGCCGACGACCTCAACAAGGGCCAGCTCCACAAGTTCTACTGGCTCCTCGCCGGCGTCTGCCTCGCCAACCTCCTCGTATACCTCGTCGCCGCCAGGTGGTACAAGTACAAGGCCGGCCGCGCCGCCGCCGCCGGCGACGGCGGCGTCGAGATGGCCGACGCCGAGCCATGCCTCCACTGATCCACACCGTCCATCCATCCATCCATCAGACGGCTACGATTTCTTCTTCGCATCTTGTACTATATATATACTAGTATACTACTAGTACGTACGTACGTACGTGTGTACCAAGCGAGGCGTGTATGCGTATACGTATACGTGTACGTGTGCCTGCGTGTAGTATAATGGAATTAATAACTTGTTAGAGGGGGGAAACAGTAAAAAAAATGACGAAATTAATGGTGGGGATTAGGGAGAGATTTTTAAGGGTGGTGGTGGTGGGGTCGGGGTGTCAGTGACTCGAGGTTGGTGCATTTTGTGTCGTGTGGGAGAGTCTTCGTGGTGTGGTAAAAAAAAAGAGAACACCACGGCTTCATCAGTGTACAATCATCCGATCGAAAGGAAAAGATGAAAAAATTGCGTGCTTTTCATTAACCTACAAAATCATTGTTGTGTCCCAGTTCATCCATCGTCTATTTGTCTCCTTTGACAGTGTCTTCTTCACATTTGACATGATGTTTTTCTTTTCGTATAATGCAAGATGACATGTGACATATTGTTTCTTTAAAAAAAACATATAACACATACATACGTTCATATACACGTATGCACAATTACCCTTATAAGCAACTCTCCAAACAATAGGCATTTTTTTTTAGTCAGAGACTCATGTACACGTGTTGAGTCAGTGATTCAAAAAAAAATAGTCATAATATGACCAAGCGCGAAGTGAGGTACGTAAAAAAAAAGTGTCATAATGTGACCAAGTGCAAAGACACTCAACTAGTTAGGTTCTGGTTAGAGTCACAGTAAATATAGATCAACTGGTTAGATTCATGTCGCCAAGTGCAAATTGAGCGTAGCTTAAAAAAATAGCCGAATTTTTTATTTATAATAATTAATAATATTTAAATTAAATAATTAGTAATTCCTTGTGAGTATTTACCAAAATAAGAAGGACGCTATTCTAAACAGCTTCCGCATCAGGACGCTCCTGTAAACAGCGTCCGCGGATGGACGCTAATCCAAACGACGTCTAGACCGGTGTAGCCACTTCAAATGCAGCGAACCGAGCGAAAGAAAAAAAAGGAAGAAAAATTACGGCGGCGCTAGGGTAGGTTGCCGCCGCCGCCGTTGCCTCCTTCCACCGTTTGCCTCAACATCGGGAGGCTGTAGCAGACGCCTGCCCCCGGGAGGCCCTCACGACCGCCCGCATCGATTCCAGAGGACGCTGCCATTGGCGGCTTCCAATTTGGGAGGCCGAAGGTTGTTGTCCTCCCCGGAGGCTGCTGCTGCTATCTGCTCGACTCCTGGGAGACCGTTGAATTCCATTATCCTGATAAAGTACGTATGAACACAATGTATACAGCAGTTGATCAATGGTAATTAGCTAAACGTATGCATGGGCACCTGTTGCCTCCCACCGAAAGACATAAGTAGATCAATGTGAAAGACATGCATGTCTTACAGTTCACCTGTCGCCAGCGAGCAGCCAACGAACTTGCCGCTCAAGACGCTGTGGCTGGATTGATGGCGCTGAGTAATGGACCAATCCAAGGCGCCGGCGTCGACAAGGACAGTAATAGTGGCGACGTGGTTTGCAAGGTGAAGCGTACGGAATACAGCCCCCCGATCGAAGACGAATACGACGACACCGGTGATCCCTGACCCTAGCCAGGTTGAACAACTTTTGTTTCAACTAGAAAGATAGCCCGCGCACATGCGCGGGCACCTTCTTATATAATATGTGAAATTTTATTATGAATATTTATGTGTTGGTGTTATTTATTAAAATATTTTTTATTATATTATAAAGTTAAATGTATTTTGTGTGATTCGAGCGCTGATTATTTTCTTATAATTACCCTTGTAACATTTAAATTCTAAAATAAAATTACTTGAGAACATGTGGTTTTGAATTGATGAGAAAATATTGTGTCGAAACAAAGGAGGTGGTTCCTATAAGAAAATTCAGGATATTTAACTCCCCAGTAGGATATCTTACAACCAAAAAAATCCAATAATATCAATTTTTTGATTGATTGTATTATATATATATATATATATATATATATATATATATATATATATATATATATATATATATATATATATATATTCATTCAAACAGAATTTTTCTATTTACAGTGGGTTTTAAATCTAGCAACATTTGCTCAATTTCCAATTGTAAAGGCCGCCTCAAGGTTGTTTCACTGTTAAGATTCCTAGGTGCAACCCACATGCTTATTGGTATGATGTTCAACTGGCCACACATTTATTTTTAACCTATTGTCTATATTGCTAGATGAATACCTATTATGATTAGTGACTTCATAGATCATATGTGTAATTGGGATGCTATGATCATCTTTCTTATGAATATTTATTTATCTCCTAATAAGATCGTTTTAAAAGTATCAAGGTCAATTTGTATAGGTACATAGCCCTCATAGGCATGTTAAGAGAAATTAATTAAGTTAGTAGAAAGTCGTTAGACGCCTGACAGGATATAAGTAATAGATGGAGGTCCATTTGTGTATTTTTTACATATAGATAATTTTAATTTCAGTTGATAAGGAGATAAAAAATAGAGAGAAAAGAATGGCGCACGCTGTACGCTAGCAGGGAGGAAGGGAGATTTCGGATGTTCTTTTTCTAAATGATTAATCTAACAAACTAAAATTATGTGTCAGATGTTTAAGTCGAAGATGATGGTCGAATGTTTTATTTTCTTGTAAGAATTTTTACGATTTTCTCTTATTTAAGAGAACGACGTAATATCTTAAGAGTGTATTTTCTCCGATTTAAGAGAACGACATAATATCTTAGAAGCATTTATAAGATGCGTACTTTTTACTATGTTACAATGTTGGGGGGGGGGGCTATTTTTTTAATATTACTCATAGATCTGTTCATTTTACTTTTATTAGATATAATTTAATTATTATCAAGTTATATACGATGACAAAAATATATATCATTAATTTTTATAGTTTTAAAATTGCTTAAATGACACGCAAAAGTCAGAAAATGTAGCCCAAATTAATGTGACATTTCTCTCTTTACAGTTGAATTAAAGAGGACATGAGTTTTAAAATGTAAAATATCTAAAGACATAAGCAGATCAAATATTAGCATTATAATTTAGATGCTGCATTTGCTTAATTGTTTGGCATACAATTTTTGCTTTTCTAAAAGAATGAAAATAGAAGAAAAAATAGGTGAAAAAATGGGTGAAAGAATTAGGGGGGGGGGGGTTGAGCAGACGTACGTACGTACGTACATGCAATTGCCAACAGGCCGAGGTGGGCCTAGGGATAAGGATATGTTTTTTTCTAATAAATCTAATGGTTACAAATAATGGTCCACAAAATTTAATAAAAATCAACGGTTATACGTTGTGTCCTTTTAAGAATTTCTCTAATTTATAGGATGCCACGTGGCGGCTTAGGAGCATTTATAGAATGCCACGTGGAGGCTTAGGAGCGTTTGTAGGAAGTTTAGTGTTGATTAATTTTTTATTATAAATCCTTATGTGGAAGACTTTTAAGGAAAAAGTCGAATTACACCCTTAAACAATAAGAACGGTACGAATTGTCCCGGTTATATATAATCTGATCTCTCACCATCGTTCGCAAACATATAAACTAATATATTTTTTGTTTTGTTTTTTCTTTTATTATATATCTGATTTACCTATGTATGTTCATGGGTAATATACGATGGAATAATCTATATTGTCAAAATTATTTGTCCTAATTATTAACATTATATAGATGAGAATGACATAATTAAAAAGATATAATGTGGTTCTATGCGGCATTTTCGATGATATGTGTATATGTTTTTTCTAGCAAATACTAAGCACATACTTTTTCCTTTTTTTGGAGACAAATATTTTTTCTTTTAGGGTAGGTGTGTGTATGTGTATTTATATGATGGGTGAGCACACGTTTATATATGCGCTCGTGATTGCTTTTTTTAAGGAAACATGATTGCCTTATACATCATTAGTAAAAAAATACTTTCAAAAAATTTAGCGAGATGGCGTGAAGCGGTGCTGCGGCCGCGTGAATTCTTTGACAAACTCGCCAAGGGTGGTTGCTGCTCATATGCACAATTTGAGGAAAATCTCAGAGCCACAAAGAAAGAAAGAAAAAACTACTCGATGGAGCTGATCTTGTACACATTCTTCTTTTTTTTTCCTTTATGACATCTCTTGCGTAGATATAGATATAAAATAATGGTTGAAAATAATATATCCACGGGTTATGTACAAATAAGTAGCTAGATTTTGTTTTTTATATATAGGATGACCCTTATATATATACAGTACGTACTCCTGGGTGTATATAACCATTTTTCTATATATTTTTTCTTAGATAAGCACGGGATATGCAATATTTGATACTTAATTAATCTTACGCTGATGGCATGCTTTGTTTCGCGTGTCCTAGATAAGCTCATCCAATGAGATAGACCGAATGAAGCTTAAGAGATAAAAGGGCATCCACATGGTGTAAAAAATATATATGGTTGTTAATTTTCCAAAAAAAATATATGAATACAGAAACATAGAATATATGAAAATACATTCTTGATAAATTTAATAATGTCATTTGGATATATCAGTATTACACAATAGGGCGTGAGTAAATTTTTAAAATGCTACTCAAAATTTAAATTGCTTTTTTAATTATAAGTCCAATTTAATTGTGATATACAATCATATAGTCTATAATGTTAATTATTAATATTTTTTTATGGATGTTTCAATGAGATGCGCTATTTAGAATAAAACTTAAAATAACATATATTTTTACAACTTAAAACATATGGTTAACATGAACTTTTTAGTTTTTCATCTAATCTAAGTATATAAGAAGGAAAAAGAAAAGGACATGGAGGGGATATGTACGTACATCGGACATACGGACATATAGGTCCAGGGGACACGGCCGAGTAACGTGGGATTCTTTTAGATAGATTGATTTGTTTTTTCTTAAAATAAAGATCTAGTGGTTAAAAATAATGGGTCCACTAGATTAAATGAAAACCGATGGTTGGATGTTAAAGCTCCACGTGCCGATCTAGAAGCGTTTGTAGGAGCGCCACGTGGCGGCTTGAGAGCGTTTGTAGAAAGTTTAATGGACTTTTAGTATATAATAGATAGATAGATACTTCTCTTAGCGTATTGGTGGCGTAGTGATGGTCTGACTGCACCAGGAAGGTGGACGTTGTTTCTAGTAGCGTCCAGACAATTTCTAGTAGCGTCCATGTCTGGACGCTGTTTGAATGAGCGTCCAAGTCTGGACGCTGTTTCTACCCGCGTCCATCCTATTTTAGTTAATCCTCCTAGAGAATTACTAATTATTTAATTTAAATATTACTTATTATTATAAATAAAAAATTTGGAAAAAATAGTCATAATGTGACCAAGGGCAAAGACACTCAACTGGTTAGGGTCACATTGAGCGTAGCTCAACTGGTTAGGTTCTTGTGACCAAGTGCGAAGTGAGCATAGCTCAACTGATTAGGTTCCTTGTGGTGAGTTGCGCTCGTGGTGACTTCGTCAATCTCAAGATATACCGGCATGGTCTTCCGGAGATGCTCATAGTTGTTTTAGTTGCTGTGGTGGGTGCATGTTCCGGTGTTGAGGTGCATGTGGTGACTTCGTTAATATCAAGATATACTGGCTCAGTCTTCTGGAGATGCTCATAGGTGTTCCGATTCAAAGCTAAAAATACTTATATGCTAGTAGGATGGAGGGAGTATCGAATTTGCATTTGGAAATTTTTAAATAAACTTGGTTAAATCATATTGAAGAATACTGTTAAGAATATAATAGGTGTTGCCGATTCGACATGTTGAGTTGGAGATACCATCAAATCAAATTTATTCAAAATAATTAAACAGTGAAAAATAATAACTCCATACTTTATTTAAAGAAAGGAAATCCAAGCTACATAGTTTTTTTTTAAAGAAAGTAAACTACATATAGTTATAAACTAGCCCTCCATCAAAGAAAGGAAATCCAAGCTACAAAGTTTCTTTAAGATGATGTATCACAAAACTAAAAATTTAGCAATACATTTATCATAAACTATACAAGTTTAAGGCTAAATATCACAAAACTACAGATTTAATAATAAAATTATCACACAACTATACATTTAAGGGTTTAAATCCTTACCACTAATGTTATGTGTGAGTTATAAATGTTTTGTTTTAAAGAAAGGAAACTGCATAGTTAAACGAAGCTACATAGTTTTGTTTTAAGAAAGTAAATCCGAGCTATATTTTGTCCTTTTGAGAAAGCATGGAAACTACCCTTTTGGCGGCATGAACAAACTAACTAGAGTATGAAACCTCTTCATCATTGTTCCCTTGTAATTTCCTACGAAATAGACCACACCCAACGAGGCAACCCGGCCCATGAATTTTCAAAAAAGAAATATCCCCAAAAACTCCAATTTCACTCAACTTGTGTTCATGTTCATCCAAACTCCAAACCAAATCAAAAAAAACCCCACAAACGTGCATGCAAACTCCCAAAGAAAAAGCGTGTGCCACTTTCCCAGAAAGGCGCGGCGTAGGCTACAGCCTACAAATCCGGGAGTTAGTTGGCGATCCGACGGCCCACGTCGCCTCCCCACCCGATCCGACGGCCCACAACCCCCCACGAAGCCTCAAGAAGAGAGACCAGAAGCGACTCTCCGCCGCCGTATCGTATACAGAAGAGAGTCACCGCCAGCCGCCGCCGCCGCACAGATGAATCGCGACGGCGACATGTCCGGCAGCAACGGCGACCATGTCACCGCCGGCGGCGGCAATGCGTCGGCGGCGGCGGCGGCGGAGGAGGAGAAGATGACAGGAGTTGGCAGCGGCGGGAAGGAGAGTGGCTCGTCGCCGCCGTCGCCGTCGTCGACGTCGACGTCGACGGTGATAGCCACGGCGTCGGAGGGGGAGAGGCCTGCGGCGGCGGCGGCGGCTACGACGTCTCCGGCTGTGTGGCACTGGCACGTGCTGAGTCTGCTGCTAGGGTTCGTCGTCGGCGTGGTCGTGGCGGCGGCGGCGATGCTGTTCCTGAAGCGCGGCGGCGGCGGCGGGTCGCCTGAACTTTGCTTCGTTCCAACCTGAAGATTTTCTGACGATCCAACGGTAGCAGCACACAAGTAATGCTTGTACATTATTTATCTTCTCTTAACTTCTCTCAGGTTTTACCCTGACATGTTCAACACTTGTGGTATGATATGATCTGATATGAGATGAATGCTAGATTTGCATCATTGCAATTGCATAGAGTTCATGTTTAAAGATCTGACAAGCTAATAATATATGAGATCAAGCACTGCCTGCCAATGTGACTGGAAGAGAAATTTAAAGTTTAACAGTATGATGATAAATTGATCAGAAAGAAAGAATAAAAGATTATGGAGAATGTCAAACAGTTGCACCAGTTAAAACTCTTAAAAATCAAGCCTAGTCAATGTAAAAAAAAAAAAAACCGCAGCGAAGCGTAAAACCACCATAATGTACACAAACCATGGCATCTAGGAGGAGTATTGTTGTTACAAGTTAGGACAGGTGCTCCTTTTAGGAGGGAAAAAAACACGATGCGCGGCATACCAATATGAGGGGTATCCTTTCCTGGGAGTATAACTTTTGTTGGGAACCTCTACCTCTTCTATGTCTTCTTGAGGATGTAGCCCACGATGATGCCGAGAAGACCAACGATGGCCAAGAAGGTGAGGGAGAAACCGCCACTGCTTTTGCTGCTTTCTTTCCGTAGGAGCTCCTGATTGAAAGATAAATAGAGATTTCATCAACACAATGTTCAGTTCGTAGAATCCATTAAATTCACAGGCGTGTGCAAGCTATAGATAAAATGCAGCATTGAGCAAGTGCAGAATTTAGCAGCCGGATTTGTATTGCGCATGTTTGTTTTGTCTCCAAATCGACAAATCTGGATTTGTCAGTGAGAACTTAGTCACCAGATTCTAGTCATCACATGACAGTTGATATGATTGGTTTAATTGAATTAAGCAGAACAAAAAAACAATGGCCAATGGGTCACAAATTTGAAATTCACAGTCCATAAAAAAAAAAAGTAGAAGTCCAGTTGTACGAAGAAAGCAGCAACTTCTTGATATGCCTTTTAGCAATGTCAACCATCAGTTCTTGTGATCGCAATTATTTATTTCCTTTGAATGATGGTACGACTAGTGCTGTTTCATAATGGTTGAAGTACTTACCAGCTCATGTCGTAACTTCTGGTTTTGCTGAATAGCAACCCTATTCTCCTCATTTAGTTTGGAGATCATGGACGATGGCTGATAAGAATATAAATCATCAACAAGTGATTTATCAAAAGAAATCTTAAAAGCATTTTGGAATATAAAGACATGCTAACAACTAAATGTAGCTCCTGTTCCTGTATTTTGGCTTTTCTATTATCACTGAATTATCTCATACGGTACGTAAAATGCCTGATTACTATCATGACCTATATTTTCCTGTGTGCCAAGCTCATCACTCATTGGATGCACTCTGTCATTCATGGCTAAAGCAAGGAAAAGCTTGCAGCAAATAGACAAGTTCATATGAATCATAAACAACCAAGGCGCCCCGGTTTTCCAAAAGAAAATATTGACTTGTGTAGTACTGAATTTAAAGCTAAGTTGATTCTAGCTTTCAGATTAGATATTAGCAAGTAATCAGATATTTTGCATAAATCAATTCAGTGAGATAATAAACATATATGTGGTGACATGCCATCCATGAATTACTTATAAGTACATGTCGCATCTCCACATATATGTTGTAATTGTGCTCATCAATTCAATTTTAAAGAGGGGCATGCTGGGAAAGCAAACAAAAGCTATAATTTTGGTCTCATGAAAGCATACTAAACACTAAAATGTCATGCTGCGCGGCAGTCAGGATTCATGATCACTTGCAATTCAACTACAGCATATACTCAGATCCAGGATGCCTGGGCTTATGCTCTGCAATTATCTCCAGTTTTACTTAACTTTGTTATCATAAGCTGTGCATTATTAGTTACTTGAGCACAATAAGTAAAGTCGAAAAGAACAAGGGCACATCACATAATTCCAACATTATTATTTGACACTTAGTTCATCTAGAAAGTTGCAATACTTTTCTATAATAATACTGATTCTTCAATTAAATATCTAACTACAAAAGTAAGATAAAAAGACTACCTCTGTGGGCCTCTCCTTTGTTGGTTCAGCAGATGATCTAAAAACCTAAATGTTGCACATCGGTACAAATAATTAAAAAATAGATCCTCCGAAGTCTGATTACAAACAAGAGCACAAAATAAAGAAATGAGGAAACATGATCGACTTACAGGTTGTGGCATTGTTGAATTATGGATACCATTTTCTTGTGCAAATGGCCGAGCAGAACTTCCTTGTTCAGAGTCTTCAGGCATTGCGGAGGATGTAGTCGTTGGCACATAGACTACACGTAGCTTGAATTCCTCAACAACCTTTCCTGCCACCTTATTGAACTGTTATCATAATAAAAACATAAGGGATGAGATGTTGTAACAGATGCATATAGCAAATTGATTGAAACAACACAAAATGAAGAGCTGCAAAGTAGTTACCATTTCTGCACTAATATCTTGAGTTGTTGCACCATTCTCAGCTGCAACACTTTGAACAAGGAACTTATCCTTGCACTGCATATCCGGAGGTGCCTCCCTCTGTGCTTGCATCGTCACTAATAAAACCAAATGTTAAGCAGACTTCTAAATAGATATCTGAGCTATCTATCTTAAACAGACTTGTACTGGTATTATCCTATAGTTTCACTATGTAATGGAGTGGCAGCTACCTGTAACATCACATGTAGACCCCGGCAATACGACGCCAATATTAGGGCGCACACAGTATTGCTTTGGGTTGGTTGTTTTGACCTGCCAGCCATGGATGAGGTAACAGATTTAAATCATTCAGAAATGAATGGTGACAACTAGAAACGTGTGAGAGGTGACATCTCAAGTAGATTACCTTAAATGCAACATAATGGTCGGTCTTATTGGTGAGTTGCATGGAGCATGAGCTCTGCTTCAGTAGTTCAACTGCATATACGAAACAGTAAATTAGTTTCAAGAGAATATCTGAAGCAAAAAAAAAAAAAAAACACAATAGAACCCACCGGACATTCGCTACAAAGACATACTCTATCATTTTAGGACAAAATGAAAAAAGAAGCAACAAACTTAAGTAAAAAAATGAAAAAAAAATCAACATACTAAGCATGCTATATCAATCTAAGACTTATAACTGCCATCGAATCAAATCCCAATAACCATGAAGAATTGCATGGACATTGCATTCGAGCTTCCCGACAAATCAGGAGCAGATCAGCATGGTCAAAAGGCACATACTAGCTGACAAGATCCCAAAACTCCTGGAAGTACAGACAGCTACCAAACGATGATTCTACGCAAATGCGAAGCAGGCCATCACCAAATTTAGTCCCCGTATCGATTCATCAACCAACCACACGAGACCTAGCTCACACAAATCCCAGCAAAACAAACAAGGCAGACACACATGCAGTAGCAGCAAGAGCAACCACCACAAGAATCACACACACACACACACACACTCTCTCTCTCTCTCTCTCTCTTTCTCTCTTCCACGATCCAATGGCCGAATCGACCACAGCACTCGACGAATCTCAAGCTGACACGGATCAAACAGAGAGCAAACAGCCTCTCTTCCACCCCCAAGATCCAAAGCTTTGACCAAGATCCATCAACGACTCACATCGATCAATTCGAGCAGGGGGAGGGGAAGGAGGCGAGATCTGGGCCAAAAACTTACAGGGGAATGAGAGCTCCGAAGGCTGGATCTCGAGGAAACTCGCGCTCATCTTCGCCACACTCCTCACGAATCAAGAGATCAAACTCGAGCAGGAGGAAGAGAAACCCAACAAGAAAAAGAAAACCAGAAACGAAAAAGAAAAGAAGTGGTTTTTATTGCTCGCTTTCCACCGGATTCGATCGGGGGAAAAAAAGCCAAGAACACGGGGGCTTCTCCTCGCTCCGATCCGACCACCAATCGACGCGGAATCTCTCCTCCCCCACACGGATGAACAGCAAAAATCGTGGGGGAAAATCTCCGCTCGCGAGCTCGTGGATGCAACCGCGATGGATGGATGGAAGCTTTTATTAAAAATGGGAGAAATTTCGTCGAGTGAATGAATGAGTTGGTGTTCGTTGGGACCCTGCGGTAAAATGACGATAATGCCCTCGGTTTGGGTGGGTGTGAGCGCAAGGGGGTGAGGGGTATGGATGGTATTTAGGCTGAGCTGGGGCGAGGCGTGACGTGGCGCTTTAATGGGCGTGCGAGGGTGGCCCCACCCGTCAGTAAATAAATAGATTAAAGTGCAGGTGGGAGAAACAACGTGTGTGCCTCTCACTGATTGACGATGGCTTTGCTCAAATTCAAATAAAATTGATCTTCCATTCCATTCGCTGCAATTTGCGATTCCGTTTGGTAGAACGAATCTCAAACGAAACACTTTTTGAGAATTCCAACTCTTCATTGAACATTTTTTTTCAACTATATAAAAGAAGTACAATTCACTTGTACTCCCGCACTTACAATAGGTGGTGGGCTAGGAATCCTTTCCTTGGGCAGGTACTTAAAATAAGGAGCGGAACACGTGATTAAATAAATATTAGATATAAAAATTTTAAAAATAAACTAGCTTTCTTATATAATTTCTTTTTTTTTGAAAAAACGAACCGTTTAACCATCCGAGAAACGTCGCGAAGAAAATAAGGAAGTAAAAATTGGGAAAATATAGTATAAAACATAGACTTAGTGTTTCAAAAGATTTTCTTTTTGTTGAACAATTTTCGCTCGTACGAAAATCATACTACTTCCTCGTCTCATAATATAGCAATCTAGTATGGAATGAGACACATCATGTATAGATTTACTCCAGTATTATGATATGTTTCATTTGCGTAACTATGTTGCTATATATATTATGGGGTGGACAACAAAAAAAACAAGACATTGACACATTGTCTTAAAAAAAAAAAAGAAGAAGCGGGACATTATGGGCTCGGCCCATATACCATGATGGGCCTAATGGGCCAAGCCCATCAAGGCCCACACCCACGCATTCCCCCCCTCTAGGCGTCTACATAAACGTGCCCTTGTCCGGCGTCGCCGCCGGTGAAGCCGCTAGGGTTTATCGCCGCCGCTCCGACCACTTCACTAGGGTTTTGCACGCGGCGGCGGCGGCGGCGAGATGCTGCGGCGGAACACGCGGCTCCGGCGGGAGTACCTGTACCGCAAGAGCCTCGAGGGGAAGGAGCGGCAGCACTACGAGAAGAAGCGGCGCCTCCGGGAGGCGCTCGACGAGGGGAAGCCCATCCCCACCGAGCTCCGCAACGAGGAGCTCGCCCTCCGCCGCGAGATCGACCTCGAGGACAAGGACTCCGCTGGTCCAGCTCCCTCCCCTTCCCTCCTCCCCTTCCTCTCCCGCTCCCCGTCGCCTTAGATTTGGCCCTGTGATGTTGTGATGCAGTTCCGAGGAGCCTCATCGATGACGAGTACGCGGGCGCGGCGCTCCGCGAGCCCAAGATCCTACTCACCACCTCTCGCAATCCCAGCGCGCCCCTCACTCAGTTTGTCAAGGTGCGGCTTTTGATTCGTGGACTTCTCTTTTTTTTTTTTGGGTTCTCGATAAGTTGAAAATGGGTGCATTTGGATGATGAAGCTAAACCAGCCGTTTCTGTCCATTTGATAGGAGCTCAAAGTCGTCTTCCCTAACTCGCAAAGAATGAACCGTGGTGGTCAGGTATAATTCGGCAATACTCCATGTTGTTGTCTCTTTTTGTCGCCGCGTGCTTGAATAGAATTCAGATTTGGGTTGCTAGGAGTGAATAGTTGGGAAATGCGGTTCAAGCTTTTGTGAACTTGGTTCAGGTGCATCTTACTGATCTATAGTTTCTTTTCGGCAGGTGATATCGGAAATTGTTGAGTCTTGCCGTTCGCATGATATCACCGACCTTGTTTTGGTGCATGAACATCGTGGCCAGCCCGATGGTTTAATCGTCTGCCATCTTCCATTTGGGCCAACTGCATATTTTGGGTTGCTCAATGTGGTAAGTAGTGCATATCTGTGTTATTATCAATGTATGCTGAGTCTTCGTCATGTACGATTTGGGTTGCGAGGCAATACTTTTGGTAACCCTGGATATAATTGTTGAACAGGTGACACGCCACGATATTAAAGATAGGAAGGCCATGGGTAAAATGTCAGAAGCGTACCCCCATTTAATACTAGATAACTTCACAACCAAGGTACTGAAATACTTTGCTTTGAGTTGTTTTGTTCTAAAGCGTTCATTTCGTGTAAGCAACAAACGGGTTTTATCTGATGTTTTAAGACAATATATTTAAGTTGCATGGCAAGTAGATAATCTTATGTGTTTTGAAAGTTGTTTTTTTTGTTTGAAAAGGATTCATGATTTTTCAAACCAAGGTATACAAGATTGAAGTGTCATGATGAACACAATAGTGAGCGCTTACATTTATCTTTTTCTTCAAAAAGTGGGAGGCTTCAAGCCTACTATGATGCTCTTTTCGATGTTTTCGTAAGTTCATTGACATGTTCATGTGTTAAAACACGCGGGAACTGGAGGGTGCTGTGATGATTCTTTCTAATCCGGGTACTCTTGCCAAATGGTCTCCTCTCTCTCTCTCTCTCTCTCTCTCTCTCTCTCTCTCTCTCTCTCTCTCTCTCTCTCTCTCTGCCTGCCTGCCTGGCTGCCTTCCTGCCTGTCTGTCTGTCTATCTATCTATCTATCTATCTGGAAGGCAACCTGTCAGTCATCACACATGCATACACACATACATATTCTCAGGAATTCAAGAGTACTGGCAATAATGGCTTCTTGTTAAGCAATATTGCTAGAAGTGATGATACAAAGTTCATTTTTACCTGAAAGTGCTGAGCACCTCCAGTTCTATTGATTCTTCTGCTGTTGTTGAGCATATTTATTGTTTTGTTCCCTTTGGAGTATCCTATGCTCATTGTCTTTCTCACAATTGTTTCTATTCAATTATAATGCATAGAAGTGAACATCTTTTTACACTACGATTTGCTTATTATTTTTGGTGGCTGCAATGATGGTTTTCTCGTTAACCTGAGATCTACCATGAGGACTATATCTATCCATTCCAAAACTTATCTGAGCAGCTTTAATATCTTGCTGATATTGTAGCGTGGTGAGGGGTGTACCATGTGTTCCTACTTCCTAATAATCTTGTTTGTATACTTTTTTGTGACTTGCATCCCGGCATGTAAATACCTGTGTTGCAAAGTTGGAGGTTACAATGATGTCTTTCTCGTTAACCTGAGACTTGTTTCTTCTATGAAAGACGCTTAAATCCATTCAAAACTCTAGACTGAGATCCTCCAACTTTACTTACCCGTTTCTTTCCAAAATTTCCTTTACTTCAGTTTCTTAGTGTTTCTTAAGTTGTATGGAGGCTTCTGTGATGTCTTTCTCGTTAACCTGAGACTTGTTTCTTCTATGAAAGACGCTTAAATCCATTCAAAACTCTGGACTGAGATCCTCCAACTTTACTTGCTGTTTATTTCCAAAAATTTCTTTTACTTCTGTTTCTTGGTGCTTCTAAAGTTGTGGAGGCTTCTGTGATGTTTTTCTCGTTAACCTGAGACTTGTTTCTTCTATGAAAGACACTTCAATCCATTCAAAACAATATACTGAGAGCCTCCTTTTTCATTTGTTCTTAGTTTCCTTTTAGTTCTGGTTGTCGTTTGTTTGTTTTTCCTGAATTAACCCTGGCATGATGATATTTTTCTTGTTAACCTGAGAAGTACTGACCATCAGGACAAATTTAATCCATTCAGAATAACTAAACTGAGTGCCTCTGCTTTTTACAGCTTGTGTTGTTGGCTTTAATTTTAATTCTTTAATTCTCTGCTCCACTGAACCCAAATAAATTGAATCCACTGAGTTTGTTGTTTTGGTTGCTTAATTATTTTAGGTTGAAGGAAATAGAACTCCTCTAGCGTATAGCTTGCATTTAAACACATAGATACATTTCTACTTTTGTCTCTGCCCTTCGGCAGGGGATTATGCTGCTTCAGTCTGTGCTCCACCGCATCTGTTTGATAAGATTCTATTGTTACAGACTGGTGAAAGGACTGCTAATATTGTCAAGCATCTCTTTCCAGTGCCAAAGCCAGATTCAAAACGGATAATTACTTTCGCTAACAGAGATGACTACATCTCATTCAGGTTAATGAGTGCTAATATTGTCAAGCATCTTTTGTTCCTTCTGACATCCAATTCGATGTAAAATACCTAACCACCTTAACTGTGAACCGTTCTCCTGCAACAGGCATCACGTATATGAAAAACATGGTGGCCCAAAATCCCTTGACCTGAAGGAGGTTGGCCCTCGATTCGAGTTGCGACTATATCAGGTGAAGATGGATCTGCAGTTCAGTGTTTGAATCTTGTCTGGGCCAGTAGAACTTTCTGGTATTAATTCTTTGCTCATTTGATCTTGCAGATCAAGCGAGGAACTGTCGACCAAGCGGAGGCGCAAAACGAGTTTGTGCTACGGCCATACATGAACACAGCGAAGAAGCAAAAATCTCTTGGTGCCTGATTAGCCTGCAAGGCTGCAACTGCTGTAGTACATCAATTTTGAGTTTCTGTTTCATCCTTGTAACGTTAGCTCAGTGTGTCTAATGTATCCTGCTGTGATAATGGTTCCATCGAAATAGTTACTGGGTCCAATTTGTTGGATTGTTTTTACACCTCTGCTGTGGATTGGGGCCCAATAACGGCCAATTTTTGTAGAAATGGCAGCCCACATCATGCAAGATAGAACTTCCAAAATCATTTAAAGGAATGTTTTACTGATGTTATAATTGATGAATCTGAATGCATCAGATTCAGAGTATGACACAAGATGTTAGTTTTTCTTTGTGCTCCATTCGTGTTTAAGTTCTAGATTAGGCATAGGTGTTTGAATCAGTCTTAGGCGACGAGGTGTCATCTTAAAATATGACAAACTAGTTTTTTTTATATGGAATACCGAATACCCGTGTGTGCGTTCATTTATAGGGTATACTTGTGCGGTAGAGCTAATTCGCGGGCCCGCCGGCGCGCGCGCCGACAGCGTTACTTATTTTTTTCGCTTTTCTTTTTTTTGGTGATTTTTTCCTTTCCTTTTTTCGATTATTTTTAGAAAAAAGTTTCGCTTTCTTTTTTCCGTGATTTTTTTTCACATTTTATTACTTTTTTAATCTTCCAACAACACGTGTTTTTCAAATGTCTTTGTAGAAAGTTTTTAAAATTAACTTAAAAATTTTCAAATCTTAACTTAAAATTTTTTAAATCTCGAGCTGAAAGTTTTCAAATCTCAAGTTGAAAGTTTTCAATCCTGAGTTGAAAGTTTTCAAACCCGAGCTGAAAGTTTTCAAAATCTTGAGTTGAAAGTTTTTAAATTCGAGTTGAAAGTTTTCAAACCCGAGTTGAAAGTTTTCAAAATCTCGACTTGAAAGTTTTCAAACCCGAGTTAAAAGTTTTCAAAATCTTGAGTTGAAAGTTTTTAAACCCTAGTAGAAAGTTTTTTCAAATTTGAGATGAAAAGTTGAAAGTTTTCAAATTTTGGCTTCAAAAATTCAATTTTCAAGTTGAAAAGTTTTTAAATCTAGACTGAAAGTTTTCTAAATTTGACTTCACATATAAATTTGTTTTCGATCTGTTACTTTAAAAATATCTTCTAGAAAAAAAGTCTTTATCTTAATTACCGTCATTATCTAAAACTAATGTGTTAGTTACGTTAGATATACTCGTCGAAAAAAATCCACCGGCATACGCGATAAAAAAAAACCACGGAAAAAAATCCGAAAGTGAAAAAAAGAGTAATAGAAAGAAAAAAAAAAAGAAAACCTACCCTAGAGGTTGTGTGCGTGTTGCCGACGCGCACGCGCCAACTAGGAAGCCTCATACTTGTGAGTGTTCAGGAAGTGATTATATGAGATAAAGGTTCATAGGGATAAGTGTGTAAATGTGATTATATGAGCGCTTAGGGCAAGTTTTATAATAGGGGTAGTTGTCACATTTAATTTTATCTATGCAAGATAAGAGGTGATATATACAATACACCACATTTTCACTACTCTAGCATACTAATCTAAATAATTTTATTTTATTTGTTTGTCTAATCTCTTTTTCTTTTCTAAATAATTTTATTTTATTTGTTTGTCTAATCTCTTTTTCTTTCATCTCTTTTTTTCTTGGGGTTTGTACGAAGGTTGTCCCTTGTACGAGGGGATGGCTCACATTTTCTTTTCTTATTTATTTCTTCACCTTATCACCTATTCGAGGGAAATTTAACTATTTGCAACTAGTAGGTTTGGCTTGTTCAAATGCTCTCCTTAGATTTCTTAGATTTCTCAGTGAACAAGGCACAAGTGCAAAACTTGAAATGCAAGAACGATCACATTTTCAGTCCAAAAGATCTGAATATGGTTTTCTAATAATGCAGCGTCACATTCCATGGTGATCTTTTTTCATCTAAATTTACCCCTTTTTCCTTTTCTACAAATGATGCTCGATCTGTGCAATCGACATGTGCTGGCCTCACAATCCCAACATGGATCCAAGGCAACGAACAAAAGAAGAGCAACATTATTACGAATAATTGTTCAGGAAATGAGCTAATAACAGCCCGGTAACCAACGCCATCCATGCATATCTACCACTGAAGATGGCAATGCTCTCTATTGTCTATTCCTTCCTCATATTGCATTGCATTGCATTTGCATTGCTGTCCTTGTTTCTATGCAGAAAAACCTGCAAATGCTTCAGAGTTCCAACTGAACTTGGAGTTGGTCTAATGCTACTAAAAGCAACTGAACCTGAGCATTCATCATGTCTCTGAAAACTCCCCAAATATGTCAAGGCAGTCATCCCATTGTCCATGCTCCCTTGCTTCCCAGTAACCGCCTTTGAAGCGATATGTCCCGTCTTCGCCATCCTTCTGGAACCATCTCGGCTTCCAGCCATTGTCTTGAAGCTTACTCGACTGCGACAAAGCAGATTACAATCAAAATGCAGCAACTGCGTGATGGTTTCTACAAGCTAAATCTATGTTCATCTTAAAGAGTTCTTTTCACAGAGAGAGAGAGAGAGAGAACATACCATTCTTTGTCGTCGTTCCAACCTCAGCTTCTCCGCGTTTGCCTTCTCATATTCACCGTTCTCTAGATGCCGCTGGTCTGGCCTTAGCCGTGAATCAGTAGGAGGGAGTTTGTCCTTTGAACATGACCAATCAATTCAATTAGGATCATTGAGTCTTGATATCAAGTAAACAATTCAAAGCTTGTGGAGTATTCATGACTACACACATACCTGAAGATCAGGAGACAGTTCGTTCAATGTGATAGCGAACGACGATAGATTGTATCGCGTTGGATTAGGAGAAGGTTTGTTCTTTTCCCACAGAAGTACGGCACCTTTCAATTGATCAACGCTCTTGACCTTGGAAGTATCTAAATTACTATAATACATATTTTCATCCCATTTTCCTATCAAAAACGAAGGTTTGTTCCCATCATCATCCTCTACAAAGCCTTGTACCTGTGGACATAAAAAGTGTAAGCACGGTATGAAGATATATCCACCAGAAACACTTGTGTTCACAAGTAAAAACAGTGCATAGTTTCTTACAGTAGCATTCAGAATGAACTACATGGAAAAAAGGGCCAAATAAATTTCCACAACATAGGGAATTTTCGCATGGAAAAATCACTACTCTCATTGCAAGGGCATTTCATGCTACTACCATATCAGCATGAAAATGGACTAGTTTCATCAAATCCATATACAATCAATGGACTGATAATTCTAACAGCACCGATGGGCAGCTCAGAGTAGGAACTTGCAACCTTGCATTGAGTTTGTGGTTTAAATTTATACTACTATAACGCATTAAAATAAGAACATGCTTGTGCAATTAATGTATCAGATGGTACGATTGAAGGAGACCACTCAGCTCTTCATGTTATAAGTGACCCGTTGTCCACACTCCACACATGCAATGTTTGACAAGGAAATAAGCGTAATATACAGATTAGTCAGAAGGTACTGTACACAGAAAACATGGTTTTCTCCACATATCAGGCTAACAGTAATAAAAATGACAGTTAAGGATGACAAGGAAAAAAGGAGGTGAAACAAAACATACCAGGTGAGGATTGCGATCAAGAAGCGATGGCTCTTTGAACTTGAGTTTACATGAATACTGGCGATTCCCTTTTATGTGCATGGTTCCATGATGGCTGCAGTACAGCTTCCCAAGGATGAGATTATGAATAGTTGTTGTCACCTAAAATGGCACTAGCACTTTAGCATGAGACATACACAACTTTGTTATGAAGAACATAAAAATCATAGATTCCGTTCAGGTATCATCCTACAGACCTTACTCCATTGGAAGATTTCACCGTCATCGAATTCCACTGTCAGAACACCAATCGGATCGACTTGAATTGACTGCCCCCAAAACTTGGATTTGAGATTGCTGTCGCCCCAGAATTTCCAGCCCTTGCCTTCACAGTGGCAGGCAATCAGCATGGGGTGATGACTAACCTAGTGATGAAAATGACGAAAAGCAATGTGTTGCAATTAAATGCTTCACACTATCAAGATATTAAATTTTAGTTCACAGATAGAAAAGGAGGCAAGTGTCATGCCTTGTGGAACTTACATTAATTTTCAGTAGATATCAGTTTTGCATTATATCCTTCACATAAAATTGAAATGGAAGATAAAATATTTCCTTTGCACAGAAAAATACAATAAAGAGTTAGATAACCAACCTTTTCTGCAAAGAAACGGACCCCTCTTTCAGGGAAATCGGCTTCATAAGTCTCTCCTAGCAGCGGGTTGAATGGTTTGCAAGGTCTTGCGACAGATGAAGCATAGCCAGAGACTGCAAATGCAGCTACTTTGAGAATTCTCATGAGACTGTTTCCCTAAATTTTAGATTTAACAGACACGTGAAAAAAAAGAACTCGTTATAATAGAGAGACATGCCAGTTGATACATAGAGTTAAAATAATTTCCGAACTCAACTATGACTATTTTCATACCTACACCAAACCAGCTGATCGAAACTACAATATGAACAATCAACAAAAGTCTTTTATGTGTAAAATTATTAAAGCACCACACTTCTTAAAGAGTTTTGTCGCTTCAGCAAGACTAACATTGTATAGCAGAGATCATTTTTGTAGCACAGAATGATTGATCTCAACACAAATCTGCAAACTACAGACGTAATGCGCTTGTTTTTGTTTTCTTCATGATCACGTCTAGGGATTGACATTGAGCTGAAGTCTAATATTATTGTAAATGATCTCTATACTCTCATCATAAAACAAGCAAATATCCTGGAAACGTAGAAATACAGAACCACATATGTAAAATGATCTTACCATCTTTCCGTATTGATAAGCTTGATCCAAAAGGTGTGAATATTCTAAATCTTCAAAGCCCTTTTGGAGGGATGAGAGTGGTTCATTAAAGTAAACTGGAAGGCATACTCGTGTCAAATCCTTGCCGACACTATCTTTAATAATTGACCAAAGGCTGATGCCTCTCTCTTTCTCTGTAGGCTCTGGTAGTTTACTCCGCCGTTTGATTTGTGGTAATAAGTGACTAGAATCTTCCATTTGGATATCCAAAAGTCCCTCACCACAACTGGTTGAGCTTAACATTGCTGAAGATCTGTCGTTTGGTTCAATGAAGTAGTCTGCAGCATCAAAGAAAGTAGACTCATCTTCACAAGTCAAGTCACCACCATCTTGCTTCTCAAATTCATCAGATTCTGTAGTGCTGTATTCTGCATGACAAGCAAACAACTACAACATTAACAAATGCTAATGTCAATTTAATGAATGAAAGTTATAGCCACTGACTAGTAAACAACATCAGGTTTTTCCTTCTAATACAAGGCAGAACTAGTATACTCAGGCAACTAAATGAATCATAAACATTCAAAAATGCCCGATGGAGTGGCGTGAAGAAGGATAAAATCGCCAGAAGACTATCTGTGCAGCTAATCATGTGCAGAAATAGCTCAGTACGTTCTATGAAAACATACCGCTAAAATTTCCATGTCGAGAACTGGAAAAGTCATTTCTTGTCAACGCCCCCTGTATTATACTTGCATCTTTGCCTTCCTGCACAAATATGTGTGTAATACGTAAAATTCCTGCAGGAAAAGAGAGCAGAGTAACCTTTCAAGGAGAGTAACTTTGCAGAGTTAGAAAACAAGTCCCAAAGAAGATCTATGTATTGATCAGCAGCATTTTAAGAACTAATAAGAATATCAAGATAAATTTCCACGGGCATAAGAGGTTTTTGTTAGCTGCCGATTCCATTCCAAGTTAGGCATGTGAAGGTTTGCACTGGTCCTAAAAATAGGGCATCCAATAATTAACGCATGCAGTTCCTTACCTCAAAATGGTGCCTACAGGATCCAAACAAGCTTAGCTGGTCCTCGTAGCACAGCTTCAGTTGTTTGCGAAAGCTGGAGAACTCCGTAAGCACAATCTGCTCACACTCTTGTATAAGACTTTCATTCAGTCCCTCTTGCTGCATCCGATTCCGAAGCCTGGCAGTCGAGACCGAAACATCGCTTTGCACAAAAGTTATCCTTCCGCTGAGTGATCTTAGCGAATAAAAACTCCTCGCCAAGATCAAGGCCTCGATCCAGGCAACACGGTCTTCTTTTGAATCTGTCTTCAAATGAAGTGTCTTTGTGGGGGAAAATATGTAGAATCTCCTATCATCCGACTTGCTCTCCCGAAATGCTGACAACTACAACATAATGTCCAGTTAGCTTTGCTATGGGAGACCTTGCACATGAAAATGCAGAGTGAACTTTCCAACATGTAACGCTATCCATCAGAAATAAAATAGAGCACACACACGCAGACTACCATCCATCGTGTTAATCAACAGTCAAGCTAAATGCTTATTGCAGACCAAGACAAATAAAAATAAAGATCCAAAGACCATTAGTTTGGCATTCCAGGAAGAAAGGCATGTGAATCACTTCCACTCCCTTCAACTTTAATTAAAGGGTGAGGGGGAAAAGGCAAGCAAAAGGTACATCACATCTAACATCAAAATATGGAGAGAAAAAACAACGACAACAAAGATTTCAAGAAAACCAAGAAAATACAATCAAGATGGTGACCACTACCTTGGACCAAGCAAGTGAAGTGGGCAAGTAGAGCAGTTCTTGGAGATCCACAAGGCCCCTCCTGATTCACTCTAACTTACACACAGGTCCTCTATTTCAACCCCTAACCCCCTTACTATCTTGCTCTAGTATATGTGACCACTGGAAGCAAAGCAATTGTACATCCTTTAATTGTTGGGGACCCATGAGCAATGGCCTTGAAAAGACTCAGTGCTAGTACGACTACTGCGAGTTCAACAGCTAGTAAAAGACTTGTGGAAAAGCAACCCTCTCCCTCTGGAGCAGTACAAATCAATAATGCAATAAAATTCAAAAATTAAAAAAAAAACATTCGCTGAGCATATTCTGTAACCACCCGGATTTGTTCAACTTAATGCACAGTATTAACCATGCTTCATTAAGGATTAATTGTGTCACAGTTGGAATTAATTATATCATCTACATTTTTTTAATACGACAGCGAGGGACGGATAAACTTCACTGTCTTCATCGTTCTTTAGAGTTGCCACAGAACCCTGCCATTTGTAAGAAATTCTACAGGAGAGCTTGAAATTTTGGCTAAATCCACTAAAAGTTGAGGGATTTTTGTGCAAAAGATGTGTCTGGTTGTGTGATAGAGAAAGGTGCGGCCCTTTTTTTTTTTTTGGGAAATCTCGTATCAGGAAGAGAAAAATAGGAATCATTTTTGTTCATTTGTACCTTAACCTGATACTGCTAAATTTAGGCATTGTTCTGTGGCATTGGACCACGAATGAGATGATTGGTCAATCAAAACCTCAGGTGTTTAACTGCTCCAATATGCCCCCCCCCCCCCATTCATGTCATGAACAAAGCAGAAATTAATTCGGAAATTTTGTTCCATTCCAAGAACACACACCAAGATCATGTTGAACAAAATAATCGTCCAAATGACAAACAAAAAAGGGAAAAAAAACTTCAAGAATTCGTGAGGACAAAAGAACATCACGTCATTTCGATCCAGCAAAATGTGACGCAATCTCCCAACTAACCATTGCATAGTAACGAGATTTCGACAGAGAATCTTCCAGTCTCTTTCGCCAACGCAAACGAAGGAACAATTCACACACTAACACAATGCAAAATGTGATTGATGCTTGATCGATTCAGATTCGGAAAGAGGAAGAAAGAGAAAATTCCTCGCAGACACAGATTCGCAAACCGAGAAATGTTGGGGCAAAAAAAAAAAAAAACATGATCTGCGAGATCGCAGGAGAGGATTGGGTTACCTTGAGGCAGACGACGCCGACGGGCTTGTCCGGACGGCGCGCGCCGCCGATCCTGGCGGAGGCGCCGCCGATCAGCCTGACCTCGCCGCCGCCGCCGCCGCCGCCATCCTCGTCGGCGGCAGCGGAGGCGTCCCTACGAATCTTGGAGTAGGAGAGCACCCCGTCGTGGAGCGAGAACCACCGCTCCCGCCACCCGCGGCCGTAGTTGGTCCACTTGTGGAGCACCCCGGCCACCGCCACCGCCGCGCCGCCCGCCTCGGGCTCCGGCGTCGGCGGCGCGTCCGGCGCCGGCAGCGCCGCCGCGGAGAGGCAGCAGAGGCCGTGGTGGTTCAGGTGGTGGTGGACGCCTCCGCCTCCGCCGCCGCTCTGCGTCATCCGCCTCCTTGATTCGACGGCGGCGACGAGAACGAAAAAATAAAAAGAAAAAGAGAAAAAAATAATGGGAAAAAAATGGATTTCTTTTTTCTTTTTTTGGGTTCGCGAAGAGGAGCGAAGCGAAGGGAAGAGGAGACGCGAGTTGGCTTTATTTAGCAGCGGTTGGTTGCTATTTATGTGTGGGCCCCACCTCCCTCGCCTATTTTATGCCCCCTCCATTTTTTTTCTTATAAGTCGCAAAAAAGCTTGGAGGAGGGTTGTTTTTTTCTTTCCCAAACTTTAATTTGGCCATTTCTTGAGTTAATTTGTATGTTTTCCACGGATTTTTCTCCTTTTTGTCCTAAATGCATCCAAGCAACTGGCTTTTTTTCTTCACCTTTCTTCTAGATGTAATCTTGTCTACGAAATACGGATTATGTTTCAGTTATTATAAATATGGTTTATCTCTCAACAGTTTCGGCGCATAACTATAATAACGACAGCGCTACGACGATTTAACTACCGATGGCTTTGTCAGATAATCATAACATAAGACAAAGCCAAAAGCATATCTTTTTATATGAACTAAAATTGTGCAAGAAATTTCATTATTAAGGTTTAAGTTAAAACATTATGTTACTATCCATCTAAATGAAAAAAAAAAGAATAGGCAAGCTAATAGATTGAGTGGTCGACTGAGGTTTTTATAAGGTTGTGCTAGCACATATAATTCCTTATTCATTTAATGGTATAAAACATATTCATCGACAGTAACACATCCGTGATAATTCTGTGAATCTCAAGATATATAGATCGGTCTAGTCTTTGGAGGTGTTTATAGAAGTAGGATATATGCATGTTTATATGAGCGGTTGTGTTTTACATTGTTTTATATATATATATATATATATATATATATATATATATATATATATATATATATATATATAATAACTTAGTTTTATACTAGAACACAAGATAAGCTAATTAAAACAAGAAAGAAATAATTATAATTAAGGAGGGGAGAGAGACGTTAAGCAAGGACATGGATACTGTTTACCAGATGTAGGGGAGCACAGGATGTCATAGGGATCAGGAGTGGTTCACGTGCTATGACTAGATTTAGTGGGCCTTAATGCATAGTTAATAGTGTACCAGCTAGTGGAGGTGAGTGCAACATCCACCTCTCAACAAACTCCATCACATAATCTAGACCTTAATTAACCTTTGGAACCCCTTAGGTTTACTCTATGTTTGCAAGACAAGATAGCTAACTGGAAATTAATAATGTTAGAAATTAGTGGGAGTACCTTCAAGTTTACACAAAAGATATAAATGATGTTGCATATCTTATGCATATCTATACTACTTTAAAATTAACAATATACCACCACTATCCTTTATCACTAACATTTGAGCCCCTCAATATCGATAAAATTTTTGTGCTCCCTAATTCATCCCTTTTCCATGACAATACACGGGCAAACTAGCTAGTATATGAAGTATGTTCCGGTGGCACTATAGGTTTATCAAAATATGCCAGCTTTTGGCTATGAAGGTATTTGACATGATTTACAACTAAAAATTATTATATTTTGGGACGAGACGACATGTGTTTAGGTGTATTGGCAGGCATGCCGTGTGTGAATGTATTGATGACATCGTGAGAGAGAAGAAGAAAAAGTAACTCTTGGGAGAAGATTGCTAAACCATACCAGTGTAAAACCGTGTATTCTTAGCTTCAAATCCAAGAGCACGGACAGATAACAAGTGATGTAAAAGTTGATCAAGGTTGTGCATACACTTATAAAAAGCACATGAGCTGCACATGATGACATGAACATATATATGCATAGAAAATTTCACAACTCATGCTAGCTCCATAATTCTTGCTTAGGTACTATCTCCTTTTGTCCCTTCTGTTGGACATTTCCACTTCAATTTGGAAGGTCTATAAAAAAAATGATGCAAATGTTTATAGCAATGCCATGAATTTTACTCAGATTATATATATACACAACAAATTGACCATGGATGCCATTCTTTTTAGAACCGTTCCAAAATTAAAGGGACATATACAGGAAAGTCGGAGTCATGGATGCATGGATTGATACAAATGAGAAATAATAAACCCATATTCTTAGAATCTTAATAGCATTTTCAGGTATAGTTATTTTTCCTAGAAATCCAAATATTAACTTTTGAAGGGCCCTAGTACAGAAATTGCTATAGAGCAACAAATTAATACAAGTCACTTTCTAAGCAATGTTTGCTTACAAGATAAACTTTCTCGTCATCCATTAATTTTTTTTTAAAAAAAACTACTAGTATAATTTATATATTGACAATTATAATTGGTCAAAATCACGGTGTGGGGGCCCACTCAACGTTGGCACGTGTGCTTGTCCCGGTGTGGCCCGCGTGACCAACCAGCCTCTCTTCTAGGCTTACGTGGCAGCACATATCGTTGTCTTCCCAACCGACCCGTCACTGACAGGTGGCCCAACACCATGGGTCCCACATGGCATATGTTAAAATATAATTTGTGAGGGATAAAATGCCTAAGGCTACACAGATTTTCCATTTACAATGTTATTATAATTTCATACAACTGAAGTTCATCAACTTTTCTAAAAGAAAACAATTTACGACACTTTGTTGTATGATATTCACCCTTATTTTAGACCGAATCATATTCACTTTTTTTTGTACTCCCTCTGCTCCATATTATTATAATTAAGGTGTCCTAGTTTTTGTCTTAAAGTTACTTTTTTCTAACAAAGACTAAATTTATAGAAACATGCACCAACTTCTACAACATCAATTTAGTTTTATTAAATCATCGTGAAATATGTCTCAGTAGTGTATTTATTTGATATTGTTGATGTTAAATATTTCTCTATCCTAACCAAAGTTAGAGAACTTTTAAGTTAGGACAAAACTAAAACACCTAAAATATACAAGGAAGAGATATTATAATGGTAAATTGACTATTTGAGAAATATCTTTTGTATGTCAATAAAAACTTACACCCTCTTAAAGAGAATACAAACATATTTGTCTACATTGCGAGTCCAAGACTAAACATAAAAAATAACACAAACGCATGATACAATCAATTTCTAACACATAAAATTCATGATACAAGATTATATCATCACACATTTTCATATAATAGATAGAGAAAACGATTTGCCACTTTTCTTTATCTCATTGAAGTATGTTAAGGAGACGTACTCATTAATGTGTGCATACTACCTAGGGAATGCGCTCGTAGTGATGTGTGGTGTGTTCTCTATGTAATCAAGAAAAAGAAAGACAAGCGTGAGGTATATATATTAAGAAGGCACACTCGAGGATATGTGTTAAGGAAATGCATTCACTGATATATATGTGTGGTGTGCGTGCGTAATGCCATGTGTTCATACATGTGTCTTCCAAGCACTCGACTAAAACCAAAATAAATTATGAGGTCAAAAGCGAGGTGAGCATAGCAATATTACAAATCCCATGGCTGGCGATGTGCCACGTAGCTTAATATCTTGTTGATCTGTGGCCCCCACGCTTGGACGAGAAAACCCAACATCGCCAGGCGCACCCAACTTGTTGTCACTTTGGTTCTTTCTTTTTGCAAGGAATGCAATGGAAAACCAGCCTATCCCCAATCTAGCACTGTACTTACATGCAGTAGTGGCAGGTTGATTGCCAATGTATAAACAATGCGAAATAGTGTATTTCAATTTTAGCCCAATAGTGTGTTGATTGATATCATTTCCGTGGCTAGTCAAAGCTCATTTTTAGCTATCATTTTCACGACTGTTGGTCGCGCTTTATTGATTGATTCTCTATGGCATGTTCGATTTTTGTGATAGATTAATAGCGTACGGTGCTTTATTTAGTATGAAGATATACACTTTCTTTTTCTTTAGTGAGGAGATAATATACATATTTTCTTAGGTGTTAGTATTAACTAGCTAGACATATGTGTATAAAATGGTTATCAATGATTGTTTTGTGGATCAGGGTTCTCTTTACCACTTGGGAAGGGGTTACGACATCTCGACGGTAAGCTTGATTACCGTAATAAATCGAGAACAACTGAAAAAAAATAAATGTTTATTTCAACTTTTTTTAAAAAAAAACTTAGTTGGGTTACCAGGCGTTATCACAAGTCGGATTACTGCGGTAACACCAGTAACGGGTGGCAAGAGAAACTTAGTGTGGACAGCATTATTGTTCTTGCCAGCATAATGCTTTGTTTATAGGCTTTCAATTGGAGAAAAAAAATGTGACTATTTTACATGGGCCTTCTTTGGATTCTCCGAGCTATTAAATAGCTCTCTGGAATCTTGTTATTTAGGAGTATTAAACGTAGATTACCGACAAAACCGATTCCATAACCCCTAGGCTATTTTGCGAGACGAATCTAACGAGGTATATTAATCCCGAGGGCTATTAAATAGCCCTCCGGATCCAAACAGGGCCATGGACTTGGTATAGTAAAAATGAATCATTAAGAGCAGACTATAAGCCAGCTGCAAACATATTTTAAGAAGATAAATAAGAAGAGAGAAGAGCAGCGGGCTACATATTTGTAGCCAGCTGTAGTATGGACTCCAAGACGCAGTATGTGTATGACAGGTGAGACCATATATTAATAGTGTAGTGTCTAACTATTGTATGAATGAGCTATAAGATTGGCTATAGATGAATTAGAGCTAGTAGTTGGCTACACTATTAAACTTGCTCTGATACGGTACTACTGTTAGGCAGAGGTGAGTGGTCAAGTAACGCTTATTTTATTTGTTCTTGGATCTGATCACAGTTGACTTAATCAATTAGGGGATGGTACGGATAGCTGCTAATGTAGCTTTGTTAAAAAGGAATTAAGTAGACTTAGGTTCACATGTCATGAAAGAAAATGACTAGAGAAGCCATGTCAGTTTTGAATAATTGTCCTTCTTAAGATAGCCTAAAATTGAATCCGCCGCTACCGTAATTTTCTTGATCGAGTTCAACTTCAGCCTCATTTAATTTTGATTTCAAAACAGTAGCTCTCTTGATTCTATCATCATGAAAAATCTATTTCCTTGAACACGGTAATTTCACAGAATTTTCATATGAATTACTTTAGCTTCTCCATAAATCCTGTAAAATTCCTTTGTACCAAAAGAGACCTTACTATTTTTATATAATAGAACGAATACCAGTCTTTGCTTCAAAGAAATTATAACCACTTATTAGTTATTACAAGCAAATGTTCTTTTAGCATAGATCAACTAAACAATTCCAGCAAACAAGAAGGCAAAGAATACCTTACTGGTGCTAAGTGGTGATGGTTCCTATTAGTGATGAAAACGGAGCGGATAGTTTCCGTCTGCTCTGGAGAAAAACGAATATGGATACCTTTCGGATCGGATAATTCTCAGATTGTTCGGATACGGTTACGAATATGAATATTTTCTCCTAGATACGGATATGGATATGGTATCGGGGTTTCCGTTGAATACGGATAATAATTCGGATATCCGGTGAACAGTGCTATTCGAATATCCGCAGAAGCCGTGAGACATACCCAATTTCTTTATAACCCTATGATGTTCAATATACCTTTTTAGATTTTAATAGTAGTTCATCTCTTAACACTAGTACACACTATTAATATTATTTAAATTTTTAAAAATATTTATAAATTATACTACATTTTATATAAAATGAGCTAATTATATATGTTGATATTTGTTTCTATTAGAAGTTGAGTTGGTTTTCGTGTTCCAAGAAAAAAATGTTTCAGTAGTCATGTCCAATCATATTCGATTCTTATTCGTATTTGTTTCCGTATTCGAGCTATCCATATTTGTTTTCTTATTCGGCAAAAAATATGAAGACAAATATGGTATGAGCATTATCCGCTACGTTTTTATCCCTAGTTCCTATAAATGCAAATACAAATGTATTCGAGAAGTCTCAAACACCAAACTAAAACATTGTTTTTCCTCACAACCAACTCAAAGAAGAGAAAAAAAAAAACCATCAAGACATTGTTTTGCTTGCTTTCTTGCTGCACAAAACATAGGCACACCATCATTCAGCAGTATCTTTACCACTTGATGCAACCTGAGACCCTCATGATTTTGTTTGTTTCAGCTGTTGTTCTCTAGGGTTTCCCAAACCGCTGGGGCTGGGGTTACCGCGCCCCGGCGGTAAGCACGGTTACCGCACGGTAACCGCAAAAAACCGTACAAAACCGTGCAAAATTTATCAAAAATTCAAATTATTTTTTAAATTTATTTGAATTTAAGGAGGTTACCGCGGTATTTATATTACCATACCCCCACGGTAAGCCCGGTAACCGCGGTAACCGCGCGGTTACCGGCGGTAAGGTAAACCCTGTTATTCTCCTATTGAAAAATCAAAGGAAACAAAGCATATGTGAGAAGATAGGAGAAGAGAGGTAAGGTAACATGGGGCCTGAGTTGGGGGGACAATGCATAGGTGTATGTGTTGGGATGATATCAATCAAATCATGTCACCTTCGATCGATGCACCAGATGTTCCCTCAGCATCCATCACGGCTGCATGGGCCTTTTAGACCCAAGTGAAACAAAGAATCATACATTAGAGCATCATCGACATGATTGTGTACTACTCCTTCAGTACAAGCACCACATGATTTTCCTTTTAGGAAAGTAACATACCACTTGATATTTTTTTTCTCGGTTACCTGGATGACACATATGTAGACACCACTATATAAGGGTTTTTACAGTGTGGTTAATAATATCTCAGTCCGAGTGAGCCAGATCGGAGATTTGATGCCACGTCAGGCTCTCTCGTTGTCCTGTGAAGAACACGGAGCCAAGTTGAGCCACACGTTTTTATCAGAATTTGCAGGTCTGGCCTATAGTTATGCCCCACACCACTAGAGAAGGAAGAGGAAGTATAGGTACCTCGTCGCCATCCCTGTCCTCCATGCCAAGGGGAGGAGGGCAATGAGGCGCTATCCTCGTGGAGCACTTGGGCCGAGCCGGTGACGGCAATGGCATGGCCGCAGACGAGGAGGAGGGGTGCAAGCTCAATGGGGGTGGCGATGGCCTCGATACGTCCGCAACAACAGCCCGACGGTGGCCGCCTCAAACCCTCGTCCCATTTGCAGTATGTTGTCATCGTCTTGTGGATCTCGCCCTTGTCGTCGAGTGGTAAAGAAGGGGAGGAGGGGAGAGGGGTGCCAACGGGGAGTTGAGGTGCTAAATGGAGATTTTTTTTTCAGTGAGCGATGGAGATCAGGGATGGGTCAATGGAGCTTGCTGGGCTGCCGCCGGCAACCTCTCGCCCACCTCGATCTGCACTGAAGAAGCACGTCGGCTCGATGGGGAAGGCGGCAGGGTCGAAGAAGCTCGCCGACTCATCCTACCGTCCCTGACCAATGTTGTTGTGCTTGTCGTCAACCTCCACTCGCGTGTCAGCTAAGCTTTTCACCAGTCCCTCACGCTAAACTGCCGAGCTCGTCTATGCATCGGTTGGGAGAAGTGGAGAGGGGAGGCATCGGTTGGGGAAGGAGAGGGATAGTAATCTGGACAGGAGGCCTGTCTAGATTCGTGGTACTATGAAATGTCTAATCAGATATTAGGCTTCTATATTTTGGGACGAGAGAGTACATGATAAATCTTAACTATTTGGTGGTTTAGTTGTTTAGGCATAGTCATTCTCTCTTTTTTTTTTGTTTTAGAAACAGAAGACAAACACATGCGCTCACTACACGCACACTCACCCCTATAAACGCACACACGCACACCCTATCTCTATGAGCACCTCTAAAAGACTAGACTGACATATGTTGAGATTCACGAAGTCACCACTAAAGTCTCGCTATCGATGAATATGTCGCCTACCATTGAAAAAATAATTAGCTCTAAATGTGAATACCCGTATTAAGTCTAAGACTTAAATCCAAGTGGGTTGATTCGACCACAGGGAACCTAACCAGTTGAGTGACGCTCACTTCGCATTCATTCTCATTTAATTGAAACAACGCTAATTAATCTTATTTTCTCACCGTTCTTGTCTATCATTTTCTAGAAAAAAAATGACATATAAGTTACTTGATTATTGTTTCACATGAATAAGATTCATTCGCAAGAACTAACAACCAACCAATTTCACTTAGCTTTTTGTTCCCAAAAAAATGGAACATAGAGATGACTCCAAGATATTATAGTTGCATCACACTCGTTTAATTTTAATGGGTTGTGTACTGTTATTCTCTTGGTTAACACAAAAATATCGAGAACCATGATATGAGCAGGGTGTACACATTACTCGAATTAACTAGTTAACTGAACTTTCTGACGCGTTAGCATCTCTATGTGCTTAGGACCAATAACATAGGATTATTACAGTACACATCAACGTTGTTCGTTACCAGTAATTAATCACATTGCACGAATAAAGAGGTATACGCTGACGTCACCAACCGTACAAAGGCATGCTTGCACGCGAGGCTTGCAAATGATGATGAATTTTGTTTCATTGTCACGATGATCACTTAACTCTATAGTACTACTTTAATTTGAGTGTTTTTCGTCGCAAGCTTTAAGATCAAAAGCCACTACTCATATTGTTGCAAAAACACACTATTCCAATATAGTATTATACGAATTCCTGAGCTCTCGAATAAGTAGGTTCACAGTCGTTTTCAGATTTTAAGTTGGGAAAAAGTTGCGACGCTTTAACGTCAAGTCGCATTCATCCAAATTCTGCCTAATAATTTCTAGTCATTGATCATTGACCGGTCAACAACAATCTGCTGAACTGGAACATGCAAATGTGCAGCCTGTTCTCAGGAACATGGCCTGAAAAAACATCTCAACTAACCAATGGGCACCGTTGATCTAACAAACATTGATTGGAGTACACAAGAAAGGGAAGCAGCATATGGCATCGCCAAATGCAATCTTTGGATAGTTTTGTCACTGCAAGTATCAGGAGGAATTGCTACAGACTTTTTTAACTCCCTGTCAATATTGCTGTCTGTCACACCATACTCCATACATGTCCCCCATACATCAGATTTAGGGCTCCTCCAAGGGCGAAAATACGGTGTGGATCATCAGCCTCCGCGAGCCTCCCTCCTGGTGGCATCATGGAGGATGTCAATGTCGACGCCATCCTGGGGAAGCAGCACGTACCGCACCACCGATCCCCTGATGAAGCAGTTTCGCACGGATAGCTGCCAGAGCGAAAGCTTGAGTCAGCATGCTCAAATGAATTCTTTGTAAAGTGTTAGTGCTTGATTAATGTAGTTCTTCCATATAGAACAGTGAACACAGGTGCGTTGTTGTATTTTTAACAATAGAAATTAACAGGTGCAAGTGGTAAAGCAATGAGAGTATGAAGATTGTTTCAGCAAGCAAAGATAACAAAAGGATATGAATCTTTCCATCACTATCATGACCTACAAAACACAGTATATAACATTGATCTATAGCTTTGCTTTCCTTTGGGATTACTTCAGGCATCATGTACTTGTAACAACTAACAAGCAATCTTTAGTAACCTATGCAGTACAAAAGTACACCCTTCATACAATATCATTGGATGGAACTGAAGGCCAAATAAATATCTAGGTACGGATACTGGTTGTCCCTGTCAAGTAATGTGCTTGCCTGGTTACAACAGTATTTGCACTGGAATTACCAGTGCATCTTAAGCTCCTAATTCTGCACCAGTAAGGCATGTCACGAACTAGGTATACCACTATATGATCTACTCCCCATTAATTCCTAAATTCATGTCAATGTAGCCCAAAGTTTGTTCTACAAACATTTAGACATACCGCCTTTTATCATTAGCTGGTGACTACTTCAGGACATTTACTACAGAACCATTGATTGGAGTCAACACACCACTGTGTTATGGATTGGCTAAGGTAAGGGTCTGAAGACCAGGGGATAGGGCACTCGCCCTCTAATAGCAGCGGCAGGACTTCTCCCTGCTGAGCTGAAAGACTCATTGATTAGAACTCTAAGGCTTAGCGCTAACTTCAGATATTAATTGATTATAGGGTATATGGGGTCCCTTTATATATAGGAGGATAGACTTGACATCCAAGGAACTAATCTCTAGTACTACAGAAACCAATCCAATATCTATCTATAACTTTCTAATAAACATCATCTCTTTCCTAACTAGATACTCTCCTATCTTTATTTGACTATTCCTAAATTATCATGCCTAAACTGCTGCATGGGCCTGGCCCATGCCCAAAACAACAGAGAGTAACAAGTGATCTAATGAAGAGTAATATCTACTATGGTTTATAAAGATGGTTATTATTATCTTCCTTATGCATACTCTTGGTTGTGGGATACTGGGATCCTATAACTGACATTTTGGGCCTCACTGTATGCCCAAAGAAGAATCAGCTGCTGCCATAATTTGAATTTTAGAACTTTTTTTTTGGAGTTGATTTTAGGGTATTTTCAACTTAGTTTCTTTTTCAACATTGGCTTTTAAGTTGCTAAGAAGACATATAAAAGTTTACCCACAAATCAATTTTTGGATATAGTCAGCTCTTGGCCAACTGACGGAGCTCCTAGTTACTAACGGAGAGTGTTACCTGATCCATATCCATATCGTACTTCTTTTACTTATGCAACTACATGTCAGACGTGCAACCATTCTGAATTGTGATACAGCATTCAGCACTAACTAAACATGTAAGGATCATGCTAAAGGTACTCCTTTAACAGATTAATAAATCAACAGATGACAAGTACATGCTATGCAAACAGAAGAGAAGAAATCTGAAATCATGTAGAATGAGGTGATTTTGAATGTATCCATTAATCTGACACAGACCAATCACAAGAAGCATCATGATCTGCAACACTGAATGGCATGGAAGATGTAGCACAGGCATTGGGGCTCCTTCAGAGGATAGTATTCTGACAAGCCCGGGGTTAGCACCGTGCATGAACCAATATCTATGTATAAATCCTTTTGAAAGAAGGCAGTGCGACCCCACCTCCATGAACTACATTTTAATGAATAGCCCCTTGAAGTTCTTCAATACTACTAAGTCAAAATATAGCTACTTTTGGTTATGACTCTGGACAAGTACTTGTCCACATTCACAGCCAAAAGTAGTTACATTTCAAGACGGAGGTAGTACATAATAGTAATTACAAAAAATGTTATAGTCCTATTTGACCATTTTGACCTTATCAAATTGACTGAGTTGCCACATGTACATGTGTGTTGTTCAAGCTAATTTGGAATAGAAAAATGTGTAAACACGGTAAAAAGAAGTGAATAATTAATCAACTGAAAAACCATAGCAAATGCACAAACGCACATGCATATTGAAGTACAAAACCATGAAAACTTCCTAAATCTATCTTGAACAGAGAACAAAGCATACAGAGTCAATATATCTACAGAAGACCACCGTAAAGAACCAAGAAACACTGTGTTTGCTGCAGAGTCAATATATCTACAGAAGTACCCATGCAAACAAGCGGCTAATTGCTATCCATATTTCACCAGGACAGAGACAGACAGATAGATAGATAACCAGAGCAGCATCGCATCGCATCGCATACCATGTGCGGGTACTTGTCCTGGTCGACAACCCGAGTGTTCTCGAGCTTGATGTTGAGGTATTGGTCGACGGAGTGGAGCGTGCCGCGGATGGCCAGGTCGTTCTTGAGCTCCACCGTCACCTCCTTCCCCACGAGCTCCTTGAAGTAGGAGAAGAACAGCTGCACAGCAACCAAATCAACAGAACAAAAAATAAAAATCAACACAAACTAACAGAACAAAAAAAATGAAGTGGGAAGAGAAGAAATCAACGAGCAGTTGAACAAAAAAAACTAAAAAAAATATTCTACCATACTGGCCGCAGAACCCTCCCCGCCTTAGCTCCGAAGAATCTGCAGACGCAAGAGGCAGGATTAGCACCCAGTGGACGGGATCCCCAAACATTTTTGAGGGGCAAATAAAAACAAAACTTCTAGTCCTATTATTAAGGTTTAAGGCTATCAAATTAAGAGAAAATCAGCTTCTCCCAGATCTAGAAGAGAAGATACAGTTAACGCAGGCAAGCAAATTGGACACAAAAGCGGGTGGGTTGGAGAGAGAGAGGGAGATGAATGAGAAAAGAGGATGCGGATGCTCACCAAGAAGCAGCAGGACGACGGCGGCGAGCGCCTCTCCCCCTCCCCTGGTAGCGAGATGGAGATCGGCGCAGGCGCAAGGAGCGGAGAGGATAGACCGGACCGCCGGAGATGGAAGCGCGGCAGCCGGATCGGGAGGAGGCAAAACCCTAGAAGAGCGCGAGAAGGCGGAGGAGGAGGAGTTGGGTTGGGTTGGGTTGGGTGTTGGGTATGAGATAGGACCAAACCATATTATTATGGGCCGGGTTAGGGTGAAAGGCCCATATAGCTTTATTTATTAGGAAAAAAGTATACTCTGACTCCCTCAACTATCACCCGAGTATGATTCATGTCCTCCAACTTCCAACTATTAAAACCGGTGCAAACAAATAAACAATATCCCTCGGTGGTTTTGGAAGTGGTTTTGGCTGACGTGGCGGTCTTGACCGAGTCTTTATCCAACATGGCGCTTACGTGGCATTAGAACAAAAACAAAATTAAAAAATGTGGCGCTTACGTGGCATTAGAATAAAAACAAAAAAAATATGTGGGACCCATATGTCATTCACACAAAAAAGTGGGACTCACTGACATGAGAGACCACATGTCATCCTCCCTCTCCTTCCCTTCTTCCTCCTATCTCTCTCTCTCGGGACTCAGGAGCGGCGGTGGTGGCAGTGGCCGATGGGGACGAGGCGGAGGGGAGCGTTGGTGGCGGTGGTGGCAGGCAGCGCCAGCGATGACGGTGAGGACGAGGTGGTGGGGAGCGGCGACGGTGGCGGTGGAGAACGCGGCTATGGCCCGCGGCCACTAGGAGGGAGGAAGGGGTATGAGAGGGGAGCCGCCCCCGTGGGGGGTCGGAGTCAGCGTCACCGGCGGCTGGCTAGCGCGGCGGCAGCGGCACGAGCTCCTCCCTGAAGCACGAAGCACGCCCTCCTCCTCCTCCTCATCCTCCTCCTCTGCTCTCCTCCGCCACAATCGTCCCCGTAAACCACCTCTTCCGCCTTCTCCTCCTCCTCCCGACCGCTACCGTCGCCGCTCCCCTCCGCCTCGTCCCCACCGCCACCGCCGTCGCTCCCCACCGCCGTCACCGCCGCCACCGCTCCCCTCCGCCTCGTCCCCATTGGCCACTGCCACCATGAGAGAGAGATAAGGGAGGGAGAGAGGAGAGAGAGGGGGGGAGGATGACATGTGGGTCCCACATGTCAGTGGGTCTCACTTTTTGTGTGAATGGCATATGGGTCCCACATGTTTTTTTTGTTTTTATTCTAATGCCACGTAAGCGCCACGTTGGACAAAGACTCGTTCAAGACCGCCACGTAGGCACCACGTCAGCCAAAACCACCAAGGGGCATTTTTTACACCGGTTTTGATAGTTTAAGGAGTCAATATACCCGGTTTTGTGGTTGGAGGATATGAATTATACTCGGGCAATAGTTGAGGGAGTCAAAGTATATTTTCCCTATTTATTATCTCATGTGATTTTTTTCTCACACAAATAAAAAGGGAGTGAGACAGGGATGCAAGTGGAGCGGGTAAACGGGATTTTTCCCCCTCCGCTTATCTCACTTCTAATTTATTTTTTTTTCCAAAATTAACATGTGGGATTTATTTCTGACACTTATCCTACTTTTAATTTATTTTGCCCCTAAAGAAAAAGGGAGTGAGACAGGGATGCAAGAGAAGCTGGTAAATGGGATTATTTTTCCTCCCCTTATCCCACTTCTAATTTATTTTCTTTCTAAAATTATCGTGCGGGATTTATTTCCTTCGCTTATCCTACTTTTAATTTATTTTTTTTCCAAATTATCATGTGGGAAATGAAGTAACGAGCGGGTTTTATTCGTGTAGTTGGATTAGTTGCATCTCTAGAGCGAGATGAACTAAGGTTACATACCCAACTTTTGGATTTTTTATATATACTAGCAAAAATGCATGTGCGTTGCAACGGGTGAATAAATTCTAATAATAATATACGTTTTTTTATGCATAATTATGTCAATGATAATATTTGTATTTTAATGAGCGGCTTGTTTTTTTATAAACGGCGTATTACTTTCTAACAGTTTCTTCTTAGCATGTTTTTTTTTATTTTTTTTACTGACAACAAAAACCATATTTTCCTCCCTTTTTGCTTTTCTTTTCTCACGCGTTTTTTGCTTTTTTCTTAACGTTCTTTTTTTGCTTTTTTTTCCAATAGATGAGAATATATGACGAAATAAAAGCCGTGTAATAGATGGTAAAAAATCGATGGATCCTATCCGACTCAAGCGTCCATCAATTTAGCGTTTTTTTTCTGACAGTTTTTTCAGAGCGATTTATTTTTTAATAGACAGTTTTTTTTCTTGCGCGGTTTTTTCAAATAATTTCTTAGAAATGGCGCATTTTTTCTTACATTTTTTTCCTTGCATGTTTTTTTTAAAAAAAATTACCGACGATGGAAATAATATTTCTCGCACGGTTTTTTATGGAAGATGGAAAACCTTTTTAGCATTTTTTTTGTGCTTTTTTCTCACGCACTTTTTTGAACCGTTTTTATTTTTCTCGTGCATTTTCTCTTTTTAAATAGTTAGATTAGATTAGAGATAGAGAAGAGATATATACTGATAAGAAATCGGAATTTGTTTCGCCCTTTCCATTTTTTTCTCGCGTGCATTTTTATTTTTTACGAACCATTTTTTCGCCACTTTCTTAGGGAATCGGACGAATTTTTTTTAGATGTTTTTTCAGATTTTTTCGCCTTTATTGGAATCAGACTTTATTTTTCTGTTTTTAAAGGAATCGGATCTGGCCTTTATTTTTCACCACTTTTTTTTGCCTTTTATAGGAATCGGATCTACGGTTTTTTTCGCCACTTAGGGGAAACAAAATTTTATTGTTATTGTTTTTCTTTTTTTCCCTTTTTTTTGCAGTTTTTCTTTTTCTTTTTATATGCACCTTTATGCCCTAGTTCTCTCCCTTTTATTATTTTTTCTTAAAAAAAAGACCTCAAGTATCTTATTGCAAGATTATAGGAACTCAAATGTAAATATAAAAATTATAGGGACTCACATAGAAAAGTACAAACCCAAAAATTAAAATTATATAAAAATGGAATGCTCTCGACCGGTAGGTTCCGTTTTTGCAAATAGATCTTCAATCCGGCACATCAATTTTTTTCACCAAGATATATGGGATATCACGGTATAGATTGAAACTGAGAGGTGTGTGCCTGGGATCTCGGACTCAAACTTTTTTTTTTGTTTTGACGGGAGTCGGACCTGAGAGGGAGTTGGACTTTTTTTTATTTTTTTCTTTTTTTTGACGGACGAAGAAAACATCTCTTATTTTTTTAAGTAGTAGAGAAGAGATAGAGATAGAGAAGAGATAATATATATATAGTAGTATATAAATTTATAATTTAACATAGAAGAATTTAATAGGATGTAACAAGATGATTATTAATACAAGCAGAATTAGTGTAGTCTATTCGTTGCTCCGACTTCAAGAGAGACGTGCATCTTAACAAAGCTGGAGCCCAACCGATGGTTTCCTTGGATGGTTTTTATTGCTCCAAATAATTCTAGCCCCGTCCCCCGTGCTTCTCTGTCTTCTTGAAACAAAAGGTCGTCACATTGTTTTACAAGTGCTCAGGTGTACGTTGGATTGCGTTGTTGCACCCGACTACCCGAGAGTAGTCATACCAAAATTTGAATATCATAACAGTGCTCCATTCCATCGACTAGGATTTGCCAGCCTTGAGCACTATAAATTGTCCTCAAACGTTATCATGGATTATGTACTAACATAACATGAAAGGATCAGGAAAAATATCTTTGATCAAAATTTACACCTCAGCACTTCTTCCATTACCAGTTCGCAAGTACATACGCAAACAATGTTCCCTTCCGCAACCAAACGAAACCTCATGGTATATTTGAGATTAATTCGGTATAAAATGAATGTCCATTCGTTCTCAGCGAGCTAAAATTCCTCAGCCCAAATGCATACAGAACTTGAGGACCGATGGCAAAGGCACCAACAAGTAGTAAAAGAAAAAAAAAGCCTACAATGAGAATGCCGGGTGCTTCCTTCTTTCCAGGAGCAGGGGACTTCAAAAACAAACACCGAGCTCTTCCTTTCCTAGCTGCAAATTAGTGTCCGGGACAAGGACTGGAAGCTGGATCAACTTTACTACAGGCCGGATGACCAGTAGCCAATGCTCTTGTACCCTCTTAAAATCTGAAATCCGGGTCGACGTCCATTGCCCACGAAAATTTCGCAATGAGTGATTTGTTGAAAATCTGTCAAGGCGAACAGTACTGTCAGTTAATGTAATCGGTTCAATCATTTGATTTGATCATATGCCAAATGAAAATTTTACTTTGTTCAGGATGCAATGACGACAGACTATTATCATTTCAAATATCCGGGATTTCAAATCAAATGTTTTTTTGTATGCACAGTTATAGTTTAGTTGAACAGAATCCCACCCCCAATATAAAATGAAGTGTAATCTCGATAAGAACAATGAGGATGTGCCTGTCAACTTTGCATAGGCCAATTCATATGGAAAGAAAAATAGAGTTGTCCTAAAGCACTGTTACCTTCTCGATGGGTACTTCATGGCGTTTGCACCATGCAACAGTAATTCTGGGATCAAGGTAATTGATCTTTGAAGTTCCTAGTGCCACTGTCTTTAAATCCTCTTTAATCTTCTTATCCATCTCCATCTTCTCTATCTTGGTTTCAATCTGAGATATCTTCTTTTCAAACCTGCAAGCAAATTTGGTGAGATTTCTCAACATTGTTTTTTTGTATATATACAAAATAGAGATCTATCTGTGATTGAGATTATTACGCTTCAGGGGCCAAATTTCTTTTTGGTTTCCCATCTTTGTCATTGCCTAGATTCTTTCCTTTCCTTACTTTGCTCAAGTCTGCCTTCAATTCATCCCTTTGGGCCTGGAGAAAAGAAAAAAAACAAGAGAGTTTACCAGAAAAGGACAAAAGAATGAAATGGTACAATGTTGGGCTAATCATTTGCAGTAGAAATTCAACCTTCAATTCATCAATCTTCTCATTCAATCTAGTCATCTGGGAATCATGTGATTTTGAGACACTACGCTGATGGTTACAGATTATAGCAACCTGAGTAAACAAGAAGTATGGTTGAGATCAAAACAGGTCAAATATAAGTTTTTTCTATTTCTTAAAGAGAAACACAATAGACCTCTTTGTTGGCTC